CTAGCAATTAACTAAAGACGTTTGATAAAAGATTCTGCAAGACCATTTTGGGTGTGAGTATGTGCAACATGATGTTTAATAAGAATGCCAATTGACATGCAATAGTCATCAAATGATTGAGATGTGAATTCCCCGGCATTATCAAGACGGATAGTCTAGATTGGATAATTCGGAAATTGTACTCGTAATTAGATTATTTGAGTAAGGAATCGAGCAAATGCAACATTACGAGTAGAAAGTAAACTTACGTGTGACCACCGTGTTGATGCATCAATTAAGACCATAAAATACCGAAATGGTCCACACGCTGGATGAATTGGTCCACATATATCCCCTTGAATTCGTTTTAAAAATGGTGGGCATTCAACAACGACCTTAACGGGTGATGGTCTGACTATTAATTTACCTTGTGAACAAGCGGTACATGGATAATCATTTGCTAAAAGAATCTTCTGGTTCTTTAGTGGATGCCCATGTGAATTTTCAATGATTCGGCGCATCATTGTTGACTCAGGATGACCAAGGCGATCATGCCAAAGTATAAAAATATTTGGGTCAGAGCACTTCTGGTGCGTCATTGCATGTGACTCAATTACTCTTATATTTGTATAATATAATCTAAAAGATAAAGTAGGGAGTTTTTCTAATACATGCTTCTGGCATGTAATACAGAGATATTCAACACCTCCGTCACTTATAGTCTCAATATGATAACCGTCGAGACATATATCTTTAAAAGTTAATAAATTTCTTTTGGATTTGGTAGAGTATAGAGCATCATCAATATTCAATTTTGTTCCACGTGGTAACACAATGGTAGCGCTTCCGGAGCCTTTAAGTAGTTCTGTTGAACCTGATATTGTATTGACACGAGCTTTAACTAATGTTATACGCACAAAATATTTTCTATCTCAGAGTATAATGTGCGTTGTTGCACTGTCTGCCAGACATATATCTTCACCATTTATCTTGGATACAGTCAATGCCTTAGTCAGATCCATGCTTCTTCATACACACAAAATATATATTTCATTACTTCAAATTTGAAATACAAACTAGATTTACATACAAGATAGCCAAAATAAAAACATACTGGTACAACCTAGATAGAAACATATTGATACAATGAAAATTTAAACATACTGATACAAATAAGATAAAACACACAAGGGATAACATGCTAGAGAATGACATATTAATTGGTATGGACATTTCCATCACTAATCAAATGATCAATACTACCATTAGGATCAGCAAAGAAGTCAGAAACATCAAGGTGAGTAATATCAACTGGCAAGTCGTCATCCACAAAATTCATTTCAATTTCCTTTCCTTTTTCCTTATCATTCATTGAGGCACGGTAAATATCAACTAGATGTTTGGGCGTACGACAGGTACGCAACCAATAACCTTTCATTCCGCATCTATAGCAAGGCTTGTCATCATATATCTCAGGAGCTTTGTTCTGCAAAGCTTTTCCTTTTGCCTGCTTGGTCACATTTGAATTCCACTTCTGGTGGGACGGGGTGGAGTTCTTTTGGGAACCAATGATGAATGATGACCACCACGATTATGATAATTAGTTCTATTGCGACCATATCCACGACCACCACAACGTCCACGTCCACGTCCACATCCATGGCCGTGAAATGATGACACATTTGCTTCTGGGAATGGTACAAATCCAGTTGGACGGGACTGGTGGTTTTTCATCAAAAGCTCATTATTCTGTTCAGCCACCAACAAACAAGAAATCAGCTCAGAATATTTGGTAAATCTGCGCTCTATATATTGCTGCTGCAGGAGCACATTTGAGGCATACAATGTGGAGTATGTTTTTTATAACATATCATCATCAGTAATTTTTTCTCCACATAATTTTAATTGTGAGCTAATTTTAAACAATGCTGAATTGTACTCACTTACACTTTTAAAATCCTGTAATCGCAGGTGGATCCAGTCATAGCGAGCTTTTGAAAGGATTACAGTTTTCTGATGCTCATATCGTGCTTTCAAATTTTTTTATAGTGTAAGTGGATTCTTAATCGTGAGGTACTCTGTTTTTAATTTCTCATGGAGGTGATGGCGAATAAAGATCATAGTTTTCGCGCGGTTCTGCAGGGACGCATTATTTTCTTTCTTAATTGTCTCTCTGAGATTCATGGCATCCAAGTGGATCTCGGCGTCAAGGATCCATGACAAGTAGTTTTTGCCCGAGATATCAAGTGCCACAAATTCAAGCTTGGTAAGATTTGACATTATGAAGGAACTATAAATGATAAAATAACATAGTTATAATTATTTCACAAAAAGAATAATCGATTATAAAAATACTGCAGTCACTATAATATGATTTGCATGGTGGTGATACCATATAATAGTCAATTTATAATCACAACAGAACAGTGGTTTAGTGGTTTGTTAACTTAACTTGCGCATTAAAGGGTTATGGTTCGAATCTTGTGGTAATTTTTTTTTCGTTTTCCTATTATGTACTCAAATCTGAGCCAAGTTCTATGTATAATAATGTATATGAAGTAACATGTAAAAGATTGTTACAAGATATTTAGCATATATAATACGAATTGTCAGTAAATATATTATACCAAATATTCGTGAAACTTCAGGCTCACAAAGAGTATATTAATATATGCAAAACTTCGAGTTTCCCAATTAAATATAAATAATGTAGTAGTTGCGAGACTTCGGGCTAAGCAATTTACTTTTCTATAAAGAATGGACAAAAATATTCTAATATAAATAAATAAATAAGTATTTGCGAGACTGCAGTCTCAACAATTTTATTTATATGTGAGACTGCAGGTTCAACAATTTTAATTATATGTAAAATTTGAACAATAACAGTTTAATATAAATAATTAATTTTCTTACCCTTTGAAGTGAGAAAGAAAAATAGAATTTTTTTTTCAGTTGACAGAGTCTCGTGCTGATAACGTGTAATAAATGTATATGTATATATAGAGTAATATTTAGAAAGAGATAGATGTGAGAACGAAGGAGCTTTTATTGATATAATTTGTGAAGTATCTCTTACAGAGCAATAGTTACACTAGTATTTATAGGCACAAACAAAAGCTTTCAATGGAAGCTCAAAGTGCAGCTTTTCTCCTCACGCCAAGATATCAAGCTTACTTTGGAAATCATCATTAGTGGATCCCACTTCTATAACATATTTAAATATATAAATTAATGTTTGATAAATTAAAATTTTATTTATTGGGACATGGTTAATTAAAAAGCAATAATATTGGATTATTTGAAAAATTCACAATCTATGAATTCCATCCAATCCCTTGTTTCATGAATCCAATCATATAGTACGTTATTCCGCGTATTGATGGTAGATTTAGATTTTCTCAATTCATTGGGATTGAATCGGATTGAAATTGATGCCTAAACCGATTCAATCCGATATGATCTATGGCCATCCCAGTTGTGGCGGCATGCATAGGAAAGGGCTCAGGGTATACAGTGGATGCCTTTGTAATTATATACTATATGTATTATAGTATAAGAAAATGAAATTTAATACAATTTAAGATATATTATGAAATAATTAAAAATAATATAAAATTTTATAAAATAAACACAATAAATATTGGGTTCTAAGTTACAAATTATATATTTTATTCAATACTATATATGCATAAAAAAATTTATGAGTAAAAATAATTTTATATATAATATATTATATTATTATATTTTAAAATATCTCTATTGTATTTGTGTTCAATTTCAAATTTTTTATCCTTTATAAAATGACACCATAATAGAATATTGATATTGGACTCCAAAGTTTAGTTCATATATCACATTATAATAAGAAGTAGAGAAGTACAGTGACCACCAAGAACTGTAACCTTTTAAAGAAAAAAAATTAAGAATCTAAGTTTTTTATCAATGCAAACTAGGTGTGTAAGTTAAAAAATAAAAAATACCACTTAGAGCAAGTCCGGTGCAGGTTTTAGAGATATTGGGCTCAGTTTAGCTATGAAAGAAGTCCAATGGAGTCTCCAATTGGTGGGCTTAAAAATTTGGGTAGGCCATCGCGGGCCTGCCGTAGTTTTTTATAATTGTTTTAAGCCAAAATCACTGTAGCCCTTAGCCCAGAATTGGGTTAAGGTCATGTTTGGTTGGAAAAATATTTCAGAAACCTGTTTTTTGGGTTTTTTTTGACTGTTTCTATTTTCTTCTTTTATTTATTTATTTTTTTTCCCCTCGACATAATTGAAAAAAAGAGCTGTTAAGACATTGTTTGACTGGCTTTTTTGGGCAAAAATATGTATAAAAAAAAAGTGTTTTTTTAAATAGAAAAAAATTATTGTATATGATTATGCCATGTGATTGTTCTTTAAAAAAAATGGAAAAAGTGTCACATGGTTGTTATTTTTTCCTAGTTGATTTTAATAATGATATTGTATTGTTTATTTATTATTATTTTAAAATTTATATAGTATTATAATGTTTTATTTATAGTCCATAATAAATATTGTATAGTTTAATAGTTTTTGTATGATATAACAGTAATAGCAGTAAAAAAAAAAAAAAATTATTAAAAATATTAAAATATTTCAATTTTTTGAGAGAGAAAACGTTTCATTGGAACACTTGCGATAGCTAAAATTTAGAGAGCACAAAACGCTAATATGACTCTTGAAAATGCTGACAGGACTCTTGAAAATGCTAACGTAACAAATTTGGAGATCCAAAATTTAGAGATGCCGTTAATGAAAACAAATTAAATAATTATTAGCCATTTTACCTATTAAATAATTATTAGCCAAAAGTGGTGAACTAATTTACATATTCACGTGTTTTAAATTTATTTATTTATTTATTTTTTTGCACTTTATTTATTCCCATACTAATCTAAATGTGCAACAAATAGTTGAGATGGTTTTTATTTTTAATTTTTTTTAAAGGAGTTTTCAATAATTAATCGAGGTTGTAAGGCTTTATTCCTTTCCTTATATGATTCGGTTCTAAACGTGCCTCTCTTCCAATTGCGTGTTCTTTCGCGTAATACTCTCTCTCTCTCACACGCACGCACACGAACACGAACACGAACACGAACACGCTTTGCTCATCAGCCATGTCTGCCGAATCAGCCTCGGGAATCCCAAGGAGCCAGGTACGAGTTTCCTGCATCCAATTCGCTCTTTCTGTGTATATATGCGCCTAAGTGTACTAATTGTTCTGTTATTAATGGTGGACTCTGACCAGGTGGATCTACTTAACTTCGTCGACTGGACTGGAGTTGAATGCCTCAATCAGAGCACGAGTCACACCCTTCCCAACGCTCTCAAACAGGTGCATCCTGTCACATAAGTAGGGTTTTTTTTATTGCTTCAATGCTATAACTATTTTAATTGTTCCTATTGAAACTAAAGTTTTTTGTTTGTAAAGCAATTAGGGTTTTACTTAATTATTGAATTAGGGTTTTCATATATAAGCTTGGTTTTGATTCATTTTTTCCCCCTTAAATAATCCACATGGTCATGTTTTCTTTGTAACAAAAGCTTCTCAGAGACCTAGAATGCTTTATTAATTAGTTTGAATGTTCTTATCAATACTTTGGCTGTTATGTATTAAATAATCCACATGATTCATACTTTTGTATAACAAAGCTTCTGAGAAACATATAATTTGACACTAATGGGTATTAATTTGAATGTTTTTATCAAATAAGCCACATATATATGTTTTTTGTGCAACAATAGTTACCTAGAAACAGTTAATTTGCGAATAATAGGGTTTTATTTTATTTTATTAGAATGCTGTAAATAATTTGAACTTTACTAGTGAAAAACCAACATTTTGTCATTGATTTAACCTTTGACTGGTATATTTATCAACCAATGGTTTATACGCGTACGCGTGTCCTCAAAGTAGTGATTGGTGCATTTTCTTTGAGAAAAATATTGCAAATCAATTTCTTTATTTATACTTAAATTGGGATTTGTTGAACCCTAGTTTTTTTAATTAGACAGGGTAGTGAACCTATAAAATACATTAAACTACTATTTTATCATTCGACCACCAAAGTTCACTTTGTAGATCATCAAGAATTGCTTCCGTTGCATAGGCCCTTTTTGACACCTCGTCATCTTTGCAAGCTAGCCCTTAAGAAGGCCTTGCCACAGTTGGGTGCTCCACTTTACTGTGATTGACGAAGGCTAGGCTAGGTTTGGTAGTAGTATCCATTACAAATGAAAGGAGATTGGGGTCAGTGGTTGGTAGTTGGCACCACCACTATGCTCAAGGAATGCAAAATACCACCTGCCATCACTGTGCTTCTAACTAATGCCATAGTACCGCAGAATGTACTCTACTTCTACTATGACTAAACACCATCCCCTCCACCAGCGCTGAACTTGATTCAATTCTCCCCTGGATCACTGCCACCGCCTTCTTTGCCCTTGCATTAGAAACTGAAAAGTACTATTGGAATGTAATTACACATGTTGATGGACGAAAGACAAATAGTTGTTGAGATGCAAAGCCGTTGTTGTTTGTATTATAAGCTCGTTATTTTTTGCCTCATTACTGGTGCCAATAATGGTAACCAAGTTCATTTGTTCAAGAATTTATCTTGTAGTAGTCACATATCCACATGTTTATTTATACATAATTTTAAAGGTACGTGAAATACTGGAGCTTGTAACAACTACCTGTTTTTCTTGAGTGTCTTTCCTAAGCAAGTGGATTCGTTACTCTTTTCTAAAACTTAAGTTCCAGGTGAGCAAAACGAAACAGTCTGGTCCCTGTGTAAGAACATCACATGAAGCAGAGGGAGGAAGGGAGGGGAATTAGAAAAAAAAAATATACCAGCACTCCCTGACTTCAATTATAATATATTTCATGTTTTTGGAATAGAAAAAAGATTTTATGCCATGAGATTGGTGAGAATTTACCCAATTTATTTCGACAGTAATCTTAATAGCAAAGCTTGTTCTACCAGCGTGCGTTACTGGTGTCAGATGCCAGCACTTCTCAGAAACATTTGGATATGTGGTTCAATGGGTCTTAGACACTTCTATTGTTTAAGAATTGATTATTTAATTATGGATTTTTGGTCAACACTTCTTGGACGATTTTGGATACATGTTAAACACACCTCATGCTAGGTTACAAGTTTTTTCAAGTTCTTGGAAGACGAAAGTCATTACCCTAACATTTTTTTGAGTTCTAAGTGAGGTGCAGCTGAGGTTTGGCTTCTCTGTCTGGATGTTTGCTTTGTCTTTGAGATCCATTATGTTTTCTATATCTAGGGTCTGCTTTCCCCTTTTTGTCGACGACTTTGTCTTTTGTATTGTCTTATGTTGTTGGATGGTTTGTAATCTTGGCCTAGTTGAGTCTTAGAAGGCACTTCCCCCCTCCCCCCCAACAGGAAAAAGGAAATAAAAAATCAAATTAAAATTAAGAAGCCTTAGAAAGCTTATGATCCTCCCTGTATTTTTTTCTGTTTATCCTGCGGGTAATGCGGCAGCTTATATTCCCTTGGTCTTTTAATTGTTCTCTTTTATATTCTTTATTTACCAAAAAAATGCCTTCAAGGAAAGGGGAACATCAAAATTTGTCTCTCTTTTATTCTATATCTTCTTTGAAGGTTCATTTACCTCCTTTTCATTTGTAATAGAATTTTATATTCTTCCATCTGAAAATAATAATTGTCCTTGTATAAGATTCACCCCCACGCTACCATTTTTCTTTGTTTCTCATTTTGGGGGTTGTTTTATAAGAGCTTATTTGATTTTTTTGCTATGAACCAGGGTTACAGAGAAGATGAGGGTTTGAATCTGGAGAGTGATGCGGATGAGCAGCTTTTGATTTATATTCCTTTTCAACAAGTTATTAAGCTGCATTCTATTATTATCAAAGGACCTGAAGAGGAAGGTAACTATTGGACCTCTGAAATCTGAATATCTTCTGTGCGAAGCTTGTCAATGTATTGCCGTTTACAGTTGAACTGCTTCAATATCAGCACTGAAGCAACTAATGATAAACTATATCATTTATGATTTATATGGTTATTCCCTACTTTTCCTGTGATTTTTCTTTTCCTTCTGTTCTTTGGCTCATTTATGTTTAAATGGAAGCATTTTCTAACAGAAAACCCATGATTTAACGCTCAACGGATTAGTTTGTTAATCGATCGAGAGGAAGGCAGCCATTTTGGTTCTATCACTATTTTGTTGTGTTAAGAGCAGAATGTGTTCTTTAGTCGACTACCTAATGTAGTTGGGATTTAGACTATGTTGAGTTCCTTTGAAATTTATGCTTGGGAGGGTGGAGCCACATAGGATCTGGTGGATTCAGTTGATCTTACAAAAATTAAATCTATAGGGGTCAATTCAACAATTTGATGAAGTTGTAGGAATTGTCCGTATCAAGTTTCCTAACTGTATATAAACCCATTTTAACCATTTTTCAATGTCACTTAGGATATTTCTAGACCAACTTAATTATTAATTAATCACTCCATTTCCTATCATTTTAGGTCACTTACATTCTCTAAATTGTGTGATTGATGGAGCCTAAAGCAAGATGTTGATGTGATATTTTGACATACAGCTTCAACGTTATGAACCTTCCGATGAATTGTGATAACACTATAAACAAAGATACAACCTTTGTTTCACAGAATATGCCAAAAAATGACACTTTCCTCGGTCATGGTCTCTTTTTCCTGTTCATTACGAATTCCCACTTACTAGGAGGCTCTATGTTGTGTTTGATTGGAGGGAAGGAAAGAGGAGGGACGGAGTAAGCTTCCCTTGTTTGGTAGAGGGGAGAGGAAGAGGGGAAGGATGTGAGAAGGGATGAAGCATACCTTCAGGTCCACCATTTTGCTTCCATCCAAAAATGGGAGGAAGAGGAGAAAAAATAAATATTTTTTGGATAAAATAAAAGGGCCGGATCCCCCTCATTTAAGTGTATTGATTAAAATAATTAGGGGTACAATGGTAAAATAATTAGGGGTACAGTGGTAAAATATTAAGTGTGGGATTCTTTTTCTTTCTTTTTGGAGTTCAGTGGGTGATGTCTGGAGGCCATTCTTGTGGCCCCACTATGCTTATGGTGGAGTATTTGTGGAGGAGAGGAATAGGTGACCGTTTGACAAGTGGATTTGCCTATTTCAAAGCACAGGAAATGTGCTGACATTCTGATTTTGTGAACAGTTGTAGGCAGTGGTGGTTGTTATGTAACAATAGTGATCTGTAACTGGCAAACTATGCAATAACATGTTCCCACCACTTTTGCTACTCACAGTATTATTGGGACCCTCCATTATTGTTATGTAATGTTAATTAAATGTCACGGATGATTTATAATACTATGCACTTAATACTAGATTGGTTGAACATATTGGTGACGTGGCATTTGTGTAAAATTGTATAAGGACCATATCTCAGGTTGGGATAATTAACTAAAGGAGCAACTTAGAATCAAGCTTATACATGGTAGTTCTTAATATCTAAACCTGAGACTGGCACAAATTAGTTAACACCTAACCAAAATGAACTATGGCTTGGCGGCTCAAATTGGTTCAGTTTTTGGGTTTCACCAGACCAAGTTGCAGCCTTACTGTCCTGGGGTCCTGCTTAATTTCCTGAGTACTATTCTTATGAGTAATATAAGAGTGCCATATTCCTAACTGATCAGTTCTGGAATTTTCATAATTATATTAGCTACATTTCTCCTTAAATAGAGTGGAATGGAAACTGTATTGTTAATTGGTAATTTGAGGTAGAGGGAAAATTGTATTGCTAATTGGTGTTGCCTATGCAAGCAAGATGGGGAATCTGTTGATCATCTCCTAATGCATTGCCTTGTGGCGCACGATTGTTGGAATCTTATTCTTGGATTGTATGGCATGTGCTGGGTAATGCCTTCTACTAAGGATTTGATTCATGCTTGGAGAGGATATTGCGTGAGCAGGGGTGTGCGCGATTATTGGAGAACTGTCCCACATTGCGTTTGGTGGTGTATTTGGAAGGAGAGAAATAGTAGAATGTTTGAAGGGAAGGAGTCGTCTACGGCGACACTGAAACTTGTTATTATTCGCTCTCTCTTTAGTTATGTGAAGAGGAGTTCTTGCTCCTCTTATGATGATTTAATTACTTTTCTGGATTCTTTGGGGCCTTAGACCCCGGTTCCTCTAATGTTTAAGGGACGCGTTCCCCTTTTGAACGCCTTTTTAATTTATTATTACTTATCAAAAAAAAAAAAAAATAGAGTGAAATGGAAACATAGGATTCATGTAGCCAACCCCAAGTAGTTGGGAAAAAGGCTTGGCAGTGGTGGTTGTTGATTAGCTACATTCCTTGGGTTATATTTTCTCTATCCAACTTTTACATGATATTCTGGTTTTCTTTTCTTATTTTATTCTAATTTTGATTTAATTTTTGTATATCTATGAAAACTTAGTTGATGATATTGATTGTATTTGTAAATCTAAAGCAAAAGCCATATTCCAGGTCCTAAAACTGTGAAACTTTTTGCAAACAAGGAGCATATGGGGTTTAGGTAATGTTTGAAATATGATTACTTTCACAGGATTTCTGCCACATTATATTTATCTGCAGTACTATTCAGATGTCCTAATTGTATTTAAAATGTCTACAGCAATGTCAATGACTACCCTCCAAGTGACACTGTTGTTTTATCCGTTGATAATCTTAAGGTAGAGTTACAGTACTTGCACTTGTTTCCACTGCAAGGCTGTTTCTTGTTTATGAAAAAAGTATTTGTCAGGATGTAATAGTTTCTATTGCCGAAAATATCATGTTAAATATTATGTTGCATTTGTGTTTTTGTAGGGAACACCGGTAGTCTTAAAATATGTCAAGTTTCAAAATGTTCGCAGGTACATGGAATATCTTTCTGCTTCTATACTCCTTTCACCTTTATTGTTAGCTTTGTTAAAGAATGGACATCTTACCAATGAATTTGGATCAGCTTGACAATTTTTATTGAGGACAATCAATCTGATTCTGAAGTTACCAAAGTTCAAAAGATTGTTCTATGCGGAACAACGTAAGTTTGTCATCCAACCTGTTCCATTTTATTATTTATTTTGATTTTGTTACATTTATATTTCAGCCATACTCAATCTTTTCTTGGAATTATAGTGCTTTTCTGAAGCAAAAAAAAAAAAAAAATTTTCTTACAACTATAAGGGAAACTAGGAATACTCCAATCCCCGTTGGAGCCTAGATTTCTAAAGGGAAATCTGGGAAAGGCCTGAAGAATTGTCTATAACTGATAATAACTCAAAATATATTGATAAAAACTTGATTACAACAGATAAAGAGGCCATCCCTTTTATAATACTACTATTAGTGACACTTGACATCTCCTAGAAATACTCTTAGAATTCCCACACAGCTTAAAATGCACTTTACCACTTTCCTAAGTGAACACTTGGTAATTCCAAAGCTTAATTAATTACTACGCAAAAACTAGAATGACTCTTTGACTTTTTCTTCAAAGCACCATTAATGATTTGCATCATTTTCTCTTTGATCTCTTTCCAATTTGATGTTGGATTGTTTGATCCCATTTTACAATACTAATTTACAAGGCAGGTCAGATGTAGTTCGATCACATTACCTTGTGATTGAGTCCTCTTGATTTGAATGAATGTTAAGTTGCAGCCCTCATATATTGCTAAACTAAATGAATTGGGAGACAATCCCTTTTTTCCCTCCCTTTTTATTTCCCTTTTTTCTAAGACACCAGTATATTGGATGAAAAATGACAATCTTTTGATGGGTGATAGTTATTCAACATTGCCTATCATGAAGTTGCTATCGTGTTATTCTCGTTTTATTAAGGAATTATTCATATTGCCAAGAAGATCTTTTGATTGGACAAAAGGATGAGCTTTTTAGAAGGCTTTATAAGTGAATATAGCAGATTGGATAGTCCATAAATGTGATGCAACTTATTTTCTCAGATTGAAGTGGTTAGTAGAAATTGGAAACATATGAAACTATGAGTATTTACACCCATTGAGATTTTAGCTAAGGTCAGGTGTCCAAATCTTGTAATATAGTAAAGTTTTAGTGTCAGATTATTCTCATTTAATATCATTTGTCAGCTTCTGGCAGATTTTTACTTCAAATTTAGATAGGTCTACTGCTAGATTGAGCATAATGAAGTGATAACTTTGATTCAGGTACAAAGTGTTGGACGTGATTTAATTTATATAGTTCCAAACTGTAATATCTTTCACCAATTTTGGTTTACCTTTTCCGTATCTTTTTGACTTTTAAGCACGGCTTAAGGTCTTTGTATCAAAGTATATTTAACAGGTGATTATTGATTGTGATGTATCGTAATATCACCAGATATAAAATAGGTGTGAGAGGATCAATATTGGTCAATAACCATTTGAATTATCTCGGTACTGCCCAGAAGATTCAGACAAGTTAAAAAAAAAAAAAAGGAAAAATCCAAAATACTGATTTTACTGATTTCAGTTTAGGACCCTGGGGACCAGATTCTTTCAGATGCAAACATGAACTTATTAACAATAACGATTGACTGGACTAATACCACTGGCTTTGGAAGCACAAAAAGAAGTCTGGGCACCATGATAATTAAGTAGCGCTTTTTTTTTTATTTGAGAGAAGTGCATGTTGTAGGCTTTGGTTGAGAGTTTATTTTTGATTTGGGTCAAATTTTTGGGCTTTATATTTTAATAGATTGGTATTCAAGAGTAGGGAAGTTGATTTGGTGACGTTATAGCAAATTATTGTAAACGGTAATGTTCTCTTCATTGTAGTGGGTTATCCTTCACACTACTGGAATGATGAACAAGTTTGATTACTTTTTATTTTTAGGCTTCTTTTATTAAGATTTTTATTAAGGATTGAAATTAGTTTGAATTAAGGGTAGTTTATAATTATAGGATTTTAAAGTTTGTAGAGAGGGCTTGTAATAATTCTTTTTAAGTTATGCATATTGAATCGAGAATTACTGCCATAATGCTTTGTTTGAGAGAGAGTAATTGTTTTGTCTTTCTTTTTCTTCTCCTCCCCTTTTCTCTTCTCTCTTCCATTTATTCGTTCTTATATATCTTTTTATCTCTATTCTTGCATTTCTGTACAATAGCATAGCTTTCTATATTTAAGCTGAACTTTAAACCATTAAAATAGTTCCTGTAAGCATAGTTTGATCCCTGAAACCCTCTTACCCAAATATCAACAATCCTAGTTTAATTGTCATGTGTCAACAAAACCTAACCATAATTCTTGGTAGAAGTGATGGAATTTCACAGTGCGCCAATCTGGTGTTAGAGCTAAAGGATCCTAATTTCTGTTACCAATGATTGTTTAATGAAATCATTCTTCTTTCGAACTGGTGACAGATGGTGAATAAAATTCTAAATTTGAAGCTTTAATAATAGAATACTTTGATAAAAAAAACCATTTAGTGGGAACACATCTTGGTGATGGCAAAAAGTCCTGATATTAGCTGGCATGGATTAGAGGCTGGTTCCTTTCAGCCAACATGAAATGGAATCCATACGTGTAGTGTTGAGAAAAGGTTTTGTTTAATTCTTCATTGTTGGTAAACAACATGCTTGTGGACATAATTGTATGTGCAACTTTATTATCACAGAATACACAAAACTTGTGAAATTGTAAATCATTTCTTTTTGCTTGGTGAAATAGCAAGCTCGTCTCTGCATTTTGCAGCATGTTGGACTTGGGAATGGATTGAGCATTTTTATTTTTATATATTTATTTATTTATTATTATTATATTATTTATTTCTGGGACAGGATTAAGTACGGTTTATTGATATTGTGATATAACCCTTTTCTTAAATGTCATTTTGTCTGTGTTCTTGTATTGGTATGCTATAATATTTTCTCTCTGTACATCAAATATCAATGACATATTTGTTGCCTATAACTATGTTGTGTGTGATTACACTGATGGTATCTTTCCACTGCAGTGTTGAAACGACGGATATGAAAGGTTTGAAGAAGGTTGAGGATCACTGACCCTGAAATGAGCAAGAAAGAGAGAAGGATGGATGTGCTAATTCAAAATTAATTTGGAAGCGTTTTTCAAATCATTTGTTATTAAACAACTGAAATGAAATTTACAGTTTACATTCACCATATGCATTCTTAGAAATGACTTTTGTCCTAGACTCCTATGGCGCCTTTGTCTACATGTCACTGTACTTGAGATTGTCTACAAGTATCTTGGTGTATTTGGAAATGCAGTTGTGGTGTATACCTCACATAACTGGAAGAATCTTTTGTATTTGGGTTTAAAAAAGGCATGAAATTCACACCAGTTGAGAGTTGCTGATGAGGATAATTATTAAAGTAGTTCGAGTGTTTATTAGTCAAATGAGTGTCTTTGGGCTTGGCATTGTTTGTCGAAAAGTTCCAATTTTTTAATCTTTCCAGTGATGGCAGTTGCAGGCTTTGTTCCTATTACCAAGGGCTTGAACCAGGGAAAGCCAACTTATTTTGCAGGTAGATGTCTCTATGCGCATTTACAATTAGGTTTATGTTGGTTTGTTAGTTGTCTTCGGTTTGTTAGCAAACCAAATTTGTCTGTCTTCTCCCAGCAATAGTTTTGGGTTTGTTTTGGGTTGATGTCTGGGGCATACTTGAGATAGTTTTGGGTTTGTTTCATGTTTGATATCTGGGGCATATGACACGAAGAGTGGTATATTCCGAGCTGAAACTAAAATCATCAATAGAAAGAACAAGATGGCATATGACGACGAAGAGTGGTATACTCCGAGCTGAAACTAAAATCATCAATAGAAAGAACAAGATGTACACCGAGTTACACAATCATCTGTTTGGATGGAATCACTTTCTTTGGGAAATGTATTTCCCCTAATTTCATGGTATTGTGAGCAAACCAAATTTGTCCGTCTTCTCCCAGCAATAGACTTGAGATAGTTTTTGGTTTGTTTCTTGTTGATATCTGGGGGCTCCAAGTTTGAAACTAAAATCATCAATAGGAAGAACAAGATGTACACCGAGTTACACCATCATCTGTTTGGATGGAATTTCTGGCCCAGTGGTTTTGCTTTGTATGGAAAATGTACATCCCCTAATTTCATGATATTGTACTCCAAAAGATTTAATAGATGTTCCTATTCCTCGATTTCAATCATACTAGATCCCCACTTGAAAGTCCAAATCTGTGTGAATATCAACACTTGAATTGGCCCAGCAGCATCACCCCTTCCTTTCCAAAGGAGAGGTCGGGGAGTTCAAACCTCAGTGAAGGTATGGTGTGTGTGTATTTGCTTTAATAACACTTGAAATAACTACAATATTTTGTCTTGGCTCAGAACTTCGTATGCATCTTCCCTCACATGCTAAAATCGGAGACATTTATGTTCAATATCAGCATCTTCCCTAAACCCTAAATGTTAAGTCTGATTACCTGTAATGCACTTTCTTTCATTCCCTTCCCTTTGCATTGCACGGAAGCTTTCATCCAACATTCCCGTACCCTTCTGAAAACTTTGGCAGCTGCATTCTCTACGCTGCTAAGATGGGTGCTGAGGCTTTGAGAAAGAAGCATTTTCTTCCGAAATGAGCTTCTGCTAACCATGGTATGCTGATCATGTTTAATGGTTTCCTCACTTTTGCACCCAATAATATTGTTCCAACCAGAAAACAGAATATTCTAATAAAGGACCCAGAATTCACCAAAGCCATACACAAGGCTTTGCTAGCAAATGTCAATTTTATACAATATGAAATCAATGTGCATTTGTTGGTACTTAAATTTTTGTACCTCAACACCACACAGGTTACAAACTACGAACATTTTGAACACTCACTGTAACATCACCCTCCATGAATGAAACATCACAGCAGATTATACAAACATTGAAGTGAGTTTACAGAGAGAATATTTAGGTTCTTTTGGACACAGTTGATTTAGACACTGAAATATCATTATAGTGTTACAAATAACACATGGCCTTTCCAATGACCTTGCAGACACTATGGTGAGTTCAGAACCAATTCAATCAACAGTAGAGGAACAACGCAGATTTCAGATTTGTTTAAATTCTTATAACTGGGTTTCCAATCGGAATAGGATGGACAAATGCTCTAGCATCAGAAACAGTTTAGAAATCACCGAATTTGCCAGATGATTTTCACTCTATGACCACTATCTGCAGTTTTGCATAGAGGTCAATGCTACCTATTTGAAACCGTGAAGTTGCTTGAACATCTCGAACCGCTAGACACTTAAATCTGCCATTCATATCATTGATTAAATTCCACAAAAAATTATATTAAAAACACATTTGTGCCGATTCTGAGTAAAGACTTGCCTGAATGCATTGGACCGGAAACCCTGGGAACTGATCTTAAATGTTTTTCGCTGGAAACGGTTGTCGAACATCTGAGAAGTTTGTTTGTCTAAAACACGCCAGCTGGAACCCCCATTATCACTCCCTTCCAGAATCCTGATAGCACAACATTAATCAATCACTTGAACAGCAGGGGAAAAAAATATCTCACTCAGAAAGACTATTGGCAAGGAAAATTACAAGCATGTAGACAATGAATCATAAAGGTCCAGTTCACAATGTATGCTAAAAGAACGCCTTTTATTTTCATTTGTAAAAATAAAGCTCTTTTTCTCAATGATTTTTCTTTTATAAGCAGAGAGTACTCAATTAAAATATAAATTGAACAGAATAACAACCAACTGAACACTTGCAATTACTTAACGAAAAAAAAAACCTGCACTCGTATAGAAACTGAAAGCTCTACAAGACATAGGGTTTGTAGTTTCAAGGCCTAAACCAAATAATCTGATCTGGTTGACATTGTGAAATCCATTGAATTGCTGCTGAGTATGTTGTAATTAACAACTGAAAAATTAACAACCCATTTAAATTTGTAATTAAGAAAGGGTGTTTAAAACCACTCAATACATCCTTAGAAAGTTAGAAGCATCTTCAGCTTTTTAATAGCCGACATCATTCATATATGATTGTGTGCATGTATTGAATTCTTTTCAATCAGCTCTAGAATCATATCTATTAAAAACTGGAATAATCCTAAAATAATACAATTTTTCAGATACTGGAAGGTACCAAGTTGGGTTAATTTTGCTAGCCAACCATCTCCTCTAGGATACATTGATAAAAAAAATCAAATGCATCCTGATGCTACGGCAGACTTGAGAGGAGTTTCCTGACTTTAATGAGCAATTGCTGAGTGTCACTATGCTAATCTCTTTTCAATTTATTTTTCCAAGTTCCCACAGTATAACAAGCAGGAGAATTTTATTTTATTATTATTATTTTTTTTGTGGGTGGGTGGGGTGTGTTGAGTACTTAAAACTAAACTGGGGCATAGCTTTGTTAACAAATTCAAATCTTAATTTTATGCCCATCTTTTACTTGAAACACTGCCAACTCAATCTTTATACCATAAATTATTTTATTTTATTTATTTTTTATCATTAGAGTTTAAAATGTTTACCATAACTTCATCTTCCATTTTATAAACCCTGGCAACCTAGGAAGCACGGACACACCAAAATGGGCGAAGAATCTGTGTCCGACACGCCCCGACACGTGTCGGACACGTCAAAAAACGTGTCTGGAAATTTTTTTTTTTTTTTTTAATTTTCGGACACGGCTTAGACAGCTCGGACACACTTTTCTGGAATTTTTTTTTTTTTTTTTAATTTTTAATGCTGATATGTTAATTTTATTTTTTTATTTTTTTTATTTTTAATGCTGATATGTTCTGTTTTTTGTTTTGTACTACCCTAAAGATGCTGATATATATACATACTAACCTAAAGATGCTGATATATATACATACTAACCTAAAGATGCCACAATTTGCCGTGTCCGTGTCCTAAAGATGCTGATATATATATATACTAACATATCAGTGATATATATATATATTCCAACCTAAACATATCAGTGTTTTTTTTTTTAAATTATTAATGCTGATATATATATATATATATATATATATATATACTATTCGCCGTGTCCGTGTCCTAATTTTTTTGGATTTGCCGTGTCGCCGTGTCCGTGTCGTGTCGTATCCGTGTCCCGTATCCGTGTCCGTGCTTCTTAGTTGGCAACCAAAGCTATGCCCCAGTTTCAATAGACTGCAGAAAGTGTCTCTCTCTTTACATCAACCCATTTGGTTTTTGCATCTCCTCACCATAGATGCAAGTCAACTGGTTTGTTATACTGATATTCACTAAACACAAATCACTTTTGGGGGCTTCAGCAAGGTGAAGTGAGCTGTAGCGACTTTTTTTGGGGCTTCAGTTTGATGCTTGTTTTTGGGCTTCCATTTCTAAAGAGTCAAAAGATGTGCCTTTGGCTATTTTTCTTTTGAGTGACTAGGTGATGTAGAACGGACAGTTTGATTGCAATTGAAGTCTAGAAAAGTTTAGGAAGAGAACTAAATAACAGAATTAGAGGTGAGAGAGATGAACAGAAACAGAGGTGAGATAGAGATAAAGAGAAAAAAGAAGAGAGAAAAGACGAGAAGGAGAGAGGACGAGAGAAGAGAGGAATAATTTAGGGAAGGAAAACTGACCTCAGTTCTATATTCAATTTGAAAACAACTGACTATATGAGTTACATATATGCCTGTCATATAGGCACCAAAAGCTTTCCTAAAAAGTTTCCTCAATAATTAAGGAAACACAAAATATCTAGGACAACTTAATTGCTAAGAAAGTACAAAATATCACTGCTGCAGCTATTGCAGCCTTTAGGTTAGCCGCCTAGTCTAGTGTATGTCCATGGGGGAGTCTCGTTCATGGGGCAGTCTATGCTCCGCATCACTAGGTAATTGCAATTTCTCCTGAAGTGTAGTCCAGCAATGTTTCATTCACATACAAGCCTCCTTCAAGAGGGAGAGTGAAACGAAACTTTAATGGATGCTCTCTCTTTGTAAAGAGGACCATCTTGGTAGTGCAAGTAACTTTTTCGGTGCTGCTAGGAACACAGTCACTACTTTTTCTAGACTAACGGGTGTCAATTTTGCAACTGACGCTGAGATTTGAGCCCTGCTGGAAAGTCTCATGGTACAGTGCTTGAGTCATGGCATTAAAGTAGTCTTATGAGAGATCCTATTCTTGTCTAATTCTTTAGTCTGGCTCCTAGATCAACCAACAAGTGGGTCGATTTGTTGGCAAAGAAATAAGCATCTCAGAAGTTCCTGAAAACAGTTACTTTCATCATTCCCTGAATGTTCTACATGTGTGAGGAGGATAGAGTCAGACGGGCCATTTTGTAACAATTTTTAGTTGTATTTCCCTCGGGAAGATTTTTCCAACCTTATTGCTGTACGTTTTTCTTTGCTGTTAATATAATTCTATTATTTCTTCAAAAACAAACAAAAAAATTAAATTTAATTAAACAAATAAAAACAAGATAAACCTTAGAATATTTCCAACGCCTTCTAGGAATCTCACCTTCTCAGCATTGAAATTTGAAACAGTGCAATAAGTTATGAGAACCCACAATTAATAGTTTTGTCAATTTCTTTCTAAAGGATTAGCTTACACGACAGCATAGACACTAAGGCCTTGTTTGGTTCAATTCTCTGAAAACAGTTTTTAAGAATTCTGAAACCTAGACATACAAAAGACTAAACTTTGGCCTTTTTTTGTTAACTCAATTTTCAGAAAACTAACAACGAAACAGATTTTGAACTATTTTCTGTTTTTCAGTTCTCCGAGAACAGAAACTGTTCACAGAAAACAAAAACAAGCGGACCCTAAATATCTGCAACAACTCAAATAGAACTTTCAAAGCACCTGCCAAACAATGACTTTCTAAAAACTAAACAAGATGAACTAATCATAAAATAAGAAAAAACTGAGAAAATCCACAACCAAATACCAATTAGCACGGATACCAAAATTAAAAAACTTAATAAAATCAAAACAAAAGAGAACAAAGTTAATAAAATTACTCCAAATTACTAAAAACATCACTGATTACACAAAATAAAAGAAAATACGATCAATCCAAGTTGAAAGGGGTTAACCTTGTTGGCTCAACTAAGCCCACTAAACTTGGCTCTTTATTTTGTGGCATCCATGATAGGATCAATTAGTCAATTGCTGAGGATTACAAGGATTGTTCTCTGCTTTGCATGTTCTGAGCACTATTTAAAGGTTGATCACAGTTGAGCAGTAAATACATAAATGATCATCATACATTGACCCTAAATAAATGAAAGAGGGACTGAGGAACTTGGCTTAGACAATGTTAAAGTAAACACAAAAGGCAGGTTTCTCCAAAGAGTTGGCAAAATATAAAATTCATCAGTTCCCTTAAAATTGACACACTTGCAAGCTATGTTATGGACAGATAAGAAAATTCAGGGTCATGCTCTAAAATGTCATACCAATCCATTGGATCTCTCTCTGGAGCATCGTTGGCCGACATTAACTCATACGCAACAAGCTCATGCTTTCGATTGTCCCATGACTTGTATATGAGCCAACAATCTACACAACCAAATCCGATTATCAACTAACATGCAAAATTGTTGGAGCCAAAATATTTACAAGAAAGATGACGATCTAAATATATACTACTTGTTTAGTTATGTAGGTCAAAGGCATTTTATTCTTGTTTTATTTTTTATTTTTGTTGTTAGGAATATGAGTCAGGTGTTGGTAATTTCCTATTTAAAACTTGGGTTGTAATGTGTGTCAATGTGCCATGAGTAATTCGGATACAACCACAGAAGATGCTAGAGATGGAGTTTAGTGAAGAACACGGCTGTATCTCTCAAGACTCAATCAGATATATGGGGGAAAGGAAAATAAGAGCAAAAAGAATTTAGTTCACTGAGATTGATGTTAAATTACTCAAAATTATGTTTTAGTTTTGTTTTTCACAATTAGGATTTTGAATTTAAGTTTTCTCAAAGATTTTGAAATTGAGATTTTTCATAAAAAAGAATAGCTTGATTGATTGATGATCAATCGAAGGGATTTCAGAAGGCCCCGATCAATAGTTTTCCAGAGTAGTGTTTTCAAAAACCAGATTGCCTCGATCGATGTGTCGTTCACCATAGAACAATAAAAAGAAAGAAGTCGCGCTTCGCTTTAAAGGAATTCGGTTGGGGGGTGGGGGATATAACCTATCTTTAGTGGTATGTAGGTGCCTTATTTGATCTAGTAAGGGGAACTAGAGCTAGAATAGTATTCCCAAACACTAACCCTCAGTTGCAGCCCCAGGCCATCAGGTCCTTATAAAGCAGTCGATCTACTACAACAGAACATGTCCACCTGTTCATCTACTACCATAAGTGGAAGCAGTTGCAAGTACTGAGTGTTGTGAAGGCTTTAATTTGCGTGTTAAGGGCAGCTTTTTTTTATAGCACTAGGAACCGGTGCCGTTAGTCTAAGCCAAAGCACAGGGACTTTGGGAAGAGCAAATCACCCAATCAGAATTTGAGCAGAAGGATTGAACAAACCACGGACAAGCAAATTGAGTGAGGAGCAGAGCTGTTGGCAGTAGACATGTCAATGGATTGGATTTGGACCGGATCAGACTTGATTAATCCGAATCCGATAATTAATATATTCGATCCAATTTGATGACCCAACGAATTACTTGTTTTAATCCATATCCGATTTTGTAATTTATCAGATATCCGATCCGATAACCCAATCTGTTAAGAGGTCTGTTTTTTTGGTTAAAATTTTCAAAATAAATTACAAAAAGTGAGAAATAGAGACATTGGCCAAAAGATATGAACAAAATTAGAAAAGCAATTAGGTATTTGATTCTTAGTTAAAGGGAAAAAAAAGAGAGTTAAAAAAATCTATAGGAGGAAGGAAAAAAAGAATTAAAAACTGATATAATTAAGAGTTCCAATACTCTACACAAAAAAACTATGTAAACAACATTTTTGATTAATTTTTTCATCAACTGCATTCCAATTGAATGATAGATAATATATGTATAGCATATTGTATAATTATATTTGGTTTGATCGGATTGACCATAATCCATATCCAATTTGTTAATTAACGGATTATTGGATTCGGATTGTTAACGGATTTGTTGAATATGTGGCTTAAATTGAGGTCATCCATTCCATCAGCATCTTGCATTAGCAACTTGGGCTTCAAGTTTGAGTGCCCAGCAAGCCTAATTCGTGATCATCAAGTCTTTTTTGTGGTCGCCAAGCAGCATTGTTTTGGTGACCCATTATTGGTTATAAATAGCCATGCTCTCATGCTTGATCATCATTCGAAAATCATCTAATCAATTAAGTGAGAAAGCTTGTGGGTGTAATGGGGTTTTGGGTGTGAGCCACTTTGTCTTGTATATCTTTATTTCCATAGTGAAATATTGTTTTGTCTTCTCCCCGTGGACGTAGGCATAGCCGAACCATGTAAATCCTTGTCTCGTTTGTGTGTGTGCCATTTTATTTTCTTGTCATTTATTTTTCTGTTTGTTCTCATAAACTCCTATTCGATCCTTATTTCGTAACAAATTGGTATCAGAGCTCTGTTCGTGTATTGTGTACAGATACTGACTCAGCAAGGTCTAAAGAAGGTGTTGTTCGGGAAGGACAAGTTGCCAACAACTATGTCCAATGAAGACAAGGATGAGGTCAATGAAAAGGTGCGCAGTGCGATTATTTTGAATCTAGCTGATGAGATACTGCGTGAAGTTATTGATGAAGACACGGCGGCAAAGTTGTGGTTGACATTGGAAAGTTTGTACATGCCAAAGTCTCTCACCAACAGATTTTACCTGAAACAGAGACTCTACACCTTTCGTATGAAGGAAGGCATGCCTCTTAAGGAGCATATTGATAATTTCAATTCTGTTATTATGGATTTGAAAAATACTTATATTAAAATTTTTTTTTGATAAGTAAAGATATATTAGAAAAACGTTCAAAAGGGGAACGTGTCCCTAATACAAGAAAAAAGGTCTAAGGACCGATGGAATCCAAGAAATCAAAGAAATCATCAATCGAGGAGCATGCACTTCCTTTTACATAAGAGAACAAAGAACGAAGAATATGAATTTTTAAATTGGCTAAAGAAGATTCTTTTCTTTCAAAGGATCTATTATTCCTCTCACGCCACAGACACCACCAGACACAATGTGGAACAATCCTCCAAAAATCCCGAGCTTGTTCTTTGACAGGACACCTTTTCCAAGCGTTAATCAATTGAAAGGAGTGCTTAGGCATTACCCAAAGAACGCCAAACATGCTAAAAATAAAACTCCAACAATCAAATGCCACATGACAATGCAAAAGAATGTGATCCACGGATTCACTAGTAGCTTTACATAAACAACACCAATTAACAATGATGTTGCCTCTTTTTCTCAAATTGTCCAATGTCAAAATCTTCCCCAATGTGGCAGTCCAAATGAAGAATGCGATTCGAAGAGGAGCTTTAGAGCGCCAAACAGACTTCCAAGGGAACACAGGACCAACAAAATTGGACAAACAGATGAACATAGAGCGGACACCGTACCGACCATGAGCCAAAGCAACCCACAAAATATCATCATACCCACTGCCAATATCCTTCTGTCTATATAACGTATCCCAAAAAACGCAAGCTTCCTCCATTTCCCAATCCTGAAAGGGTCGCCTAAACCGCACATCCCACGTAACTCCATTGTTATCATGTTGATAACAATCAATCACATAAACATGCTTATTGGCTGCAATACTGTAGAGCCTAGGAAAAGAAAGAGACAACAACTGATCGCCGCACCAAAGGTCCTCCCAAAAATGAACATGTTTGCCATCCTGAACTTTGAATCTAATATGAGTGGAAAAATCATCCCAACCCTTCCGAATGAATTTCCACACACCAACGCCTCCCGAAATAGTGACAGGAAGAGATGACCAGCTCCCACTCTCCTCACCAAAACGACACGAGACAACTTTTCTCCACTGTCGATGGCGTTTCCTTCCAAATCTCCATAACCACTTACCCAAGAGAGCACGATTAAAAGGAACGATTTTTCGAATGCCTAACCCGCCTAAAATTGATGACGAGGATCAAGCCCTTATTTTGTTGTGTTCTTTGCCTCCTTCCTATGAGCATTTTGTTACCACATTGTTCTATAGAAAAGACACTATTAGTATGGAGGATATTAAATCCTCATTGAACTCTCAGGAGTTGAGGAAAAAGGTGTCTGGGAATATTGGAGATGAACAGGCCGAGGGTCTATTTGTAAAAGGCAAAAGTGAGACAGAGTTCTGCTAGTAGGGGCAAATCTAGATCTCATAAAAATGTGGAATGTTACTACTATCATGAGATAGGGCACGTAATCAAGCACTGTCCCAAACTAAAGGCAAAGAATGGGAATGGCAAAGAGAAGGTTCAAGAAGCAGCTTCTGTCCTGGGTAAGATTGTAACCCAAGATAATCTGAGGAGGAGGAATCAGGTGGTGGTCAATCATTGTTACATGTGTTTGTGTAATGAGGAGTCAGTTAATCACCTCCTTTTACATTGCAGCATGGCCAGAGATTGTTGGGATTTGATGCTTCGATTATTTGGGGTCCATTGGGCCATGCCTTATTCCTCTAGAGGGTTGATTGAGGCTTGGAGAGGCGTCTCTGTTGGGGCTGGCATTAAGGACGCTTGGAGGGCTATGCTGCTTTGTATCTGGTGGTGTATTTGGCTTGAGAGAAATATGAGATATTTTGACAGAAAAAAGAAGCCTGTTTCTATGGTTAAGTTCTCTGTTATTTCTACTATTTTTTGTTGGGTTTCAGGGAGAGATTATAGATCTATGGAGGAAATTATTGTTTTCTTGGCCTCTTTGAAGGTCTAAGGCGCCTTTTGGCCCTTTTGTTTCTTTGGGCTTCGCTCCCCTTTTGAGCGTTTTTAATAAATTCTTACTTATCAAAAAAAAAAAAAAGAAGCAGCTTCTGTGGCAACTGCTACAACAAGTGATTCGGAAAGTGACGAATATGTTCTCATGATAACCTCGTGTTCAGGTATGTCATTTAATGACAGTTGGATTCTTGATTCTGGTTGTTTCGTTCATATGTGTCCCAGTAGGGATTCTTTCTCTTCCTATAAAGAGGTGAAAGGTGGTTCGATTTTGACGGCGGACAGGAAAGCTTTCAAAATTTTGGGAATTGGAATAGTCAAGATCAAGACGTACAATGGGTTGGTGAGAACATTGTCAGATGGGCAACATGTACTGGATTTGAAGATGAAACTTATTTCAGTAGGTGTGCTAGACTCCAAAGGTTACAAGGTTGTAACAGAAGGTGGAGCAATGATGGTCGTGATGGATTCTCTTGTGGTGCTACAGGGCACCAAGGTGAAAATTTTGTATCTTCTCCAAGGGAATACAGTAATAGGTGGAGCTTCTACAGAGTCTTCTACAGTTAGCAGAAATCTGCGTTCGAGTATTGGCAAAAGAAGAGTTAAAAAGAGGAGTGACGATCCTAGTTCTCAAAAAGGTTGTGAGGGGACTACACAATGTGATGGGAGAATGAAATCCGTTTTCAGATGGCAACCGAAATTGCAACAGTCCTTACAGGGAGGCAGACCCATGAGGACAGGTGTGATATTGACTTGCAATAATCTTGGTGGCAATGAGAGAGTCCATTCGAGTGCCATAAAGATGCGTGGGAGGCAAGTAGTTGGTCACAATAGAGATGCGAGGAAAAGTCAAGGACGTCCTATTCTCCATAAGGGTGAGAAGACGACTTTTCATTACCAGCCGGTGGTTTGTGGGCGGTTAGAGAAGGTTGCTGAAGGAGATGTCAAACTTAGAGTTTCTGAGGATGTTTTTGGTAAGCATTTAGAGTTTGACAAAAATACTGGAGGTATACTTATGGCTGCGCAAGACATGCATGAATTGAAGAATGAGAGCCCGAGAGTTAAGTTTGAGGATGACTCAAACTTAACTAAAATTCTTATTTAATTTGTTTTGTGGAGAAGACAGTTTTGTTTAACAGAGATACAGTGGCTCATTTGAATTTTCGCCAAGGTGGAGATTTGTTGAATATGTGGCTCAAACTGAGGTCATCCACTCCATCAGCATCTTGCATCAGCAACTTGGGCTTCAGGTTTGAGTGCCTAGCAAGCCTAATTCGTGATCATCAAGTCTTTTTTGTGGTCTCCAAGCAGCATTGTTTTGGTGACCCATTATTGGCTATAAATAGCCATGTCTCTCATGCTTGATCATCATCCGAAAATCATCTCATCAATTGAGTGAGAGAGCTTGTGGGTGTAATGGGGTGTTGGGTGTGAGCCATTTTGTCTTGAATATCTTTATTTCCATAGTGAAATATTGTTCTGTCTTCTCCCCGTGGATGTAGGCATAGCCGAACCACGTAAATCCTTGTCTCGTTTGTGTGTGTGCCATTTTATTTTCTTGTCATTTATTTTTCTCTTTGTTCTTATAAACTCCTATTCGATCCTTATTTCGTAACAAACGGATTATCAAATTGAATATTCAATCCATCGATTGGATTCATATCGAAATCCGATCCATTGACAAGTCTAGTTGGCGGAGCGAACAACTTGGATAATCAAGCAAAAAGTTTGGTGTGTCTGTCCAGAGGTAACCATGGGATTCTAGGGTGGGAATCTGGTAAATTACATTAAACATTGTGCCCTTGAATGACTGGTCAGTTTTTGTGATAGGATCTTTGTGCATGTATTACAAGGTTCTTTTGAGTCTTGAAATATTCAGATGTTAATGGATTATTGGATTCAATATTCAATCCATATCTGAGTTATCGCATCAGATTATTGGATTAAATATTTTTATACCATAATCCATATCCGAATTGTTAATTTAACAGATTGTTCTCGTTCTTATGACATTACTTTATTTGCCAATAGAATAGGTGTACAAAGACAAAATCGCATTATTATTGATACGAGGTGACTGAAATTTTAATAAATATTATCATATAAAACAAAATTATATTCTAGACTTCATTTTCCTTCTGATTTTTACTAGGCATAACTATGGTGGAGTAGAGAACATCTTAAAGGTTCAAAATACCTCTTGCACCATTTGGTTCTTCCCACTTTGACATGCGAGTTCCATCAAAGGCAGATGTTGCCTAAAAAATGTTACCAAGAATTGAATTAAAAAGAGACGCATTATGAAAAAGGGAATCGTACAGGAACTTTTAAGGAACATGCCACAAATAACTCTTGCAAAATAAGCTGATTGAATGTACCGGCCAATGCTACTTACAATTCCAAAAGGAAGTTCTTCACCACTAGCAAGGACTAAACCAGAACATATTCTGTTTGACTTCAAAAGTGGCCAAGCTAGGGAATCTTTGCTGAAGTTGTCGCATTTGTTGACATTATGAATCACGTCATCCAAGGCATGGAACACAACAGGCAATGCTATGGAAGTTTTTACAGGATCGGCGGCCAAACAAATGTCAACACTCCCATTTACCAATTCACTCTTCAGGGAAAGAGCATCAAGGAGCTGATTAAAAGAGGGCAACAGCTGATTGACAAAATATTGAGCATCTTTTGAAACAGAGTTTATAGATGTTCTCCTCATTCTAAAAGGGCAATTCTTGAGATTGATCAAAATTCCTCTGAAAAATTTAAGGACTTCAACAGCTCTAGATTTAGAAAATGATTTCTCCACGAAATGGGAAATGATAGGACAAAATCCATTGTAGATCTTTGTCACATGCTCATCTATGCATTTACGGACTGGACAGGAAGAAGAACTTAAATATTCATTCTCATCAGAACCAAATTCTGACCTTGATATACGCCATTCCTTGTCTCCACTTAGTCTACCAGGTAATGAGATCGAAGCATCATCTTTAGAATGTAAATCTCTCTCAAGTGATTCTGCTTCATTCCTGTCACGTTGTTCAAGTGCTGAAAGCACTTGAGATGTAAAATTCTTTCGACACTCTCTTGTTATATTAGAGAGAAGAGTAGATAGAACAGGCTCCGTAGTAATATTTCGTCGAGTCAGAACCTTCAACATGAAAATATTCCTGCGAAGTCAAACCTTGCAGTATATACATGTATGCATATGAAGGGGGAAAAAGGAAAAGAAGTTCACTTCTAATATTCATATGATTACCTCATGCCACTTCCTTGTGTAACGTTTAGTGACATCACACACTCCATCTTTTGCAATAGCAATTACATAGTTCAATTTCTTTTGCCAGCTTCAAGGAAAAAGTTAAAAAATCATTTAAAAATAGAGTAGGAGGCAGACAAAATATTAGTTCATCTTGATAAAGTATATGGATGAAGAGATAATTTAGGATACTATTGTTAACAATTTGACAGAGAAAGTACCCCTTCTCATATAATAGTGGATTGTCATATATTCCTTCACAAGGATCAAGATGCATCCATCTGTAAAGTTCAGTTACATTATTAGAATGCTCGTAGAGAACAAAATAATTGCAGCAATATTGTGAATAAAGTTTTACCTTCCAAGGAAAGGTGAGAAGCATTCAGTCCAAATATGATCTGTTAAATCCATGATCTGGAATGAAAACAAGTGAGTCAACAAAGACATTCGTCTTCTCTCAACCATCAGATTCTCACATCATGGCAAATAAATATATGTTCCATTAAGCCTCCCCTTCCCATTGGTTGACATAAGTCACATAATGCAAAGAATTTTAGTTAACTGGTGAGATAGTTTTACAAAAGGCTAGAGCTTTCTCTTTAATTTTGACATCCCTTTTGGCAGATTTTGTTTCAGTAATGACAGTTAATACCAAAATTATTTACCAAAAAAAGATTTTGTTTCGGTAACATGTTAACAAAGGTTCTTCGTGAAAGTCACTAGATAACAATAATGGCTATGAAATGATAGAAGGTAATTTCTATGTATGACAAATGCAAATTTTGCACCACAAGAGCTACAATTACTGAGAAAGCACACCTCCACTTGTCAAAGTGATTACCAATTATGGTGCCAAAATTATATATTTTCTTGAACATCAATAGTTCTGATAGAAAAACAAAAATTAATAATAACAGGACATTGTATGGTAAGATTTCATAATCACTGCAAACATGCAACTATATTTGGCCTTGTTTTATAATACAGTTTGATCAAGAACAGGGTCGCAACTCCTCAACTTAATCTATCATTCAACTTGGTGTTCGTTTCTTTAATTTAAAGACCAATTCATTCTTCGCAGTAAGCTATAACACATGAACTATTCAAACATAGTAAGTACTCATGGCAGACACTTATGGTACGAGTTTGGGCATGAGACACGAGTCTGGCATGTCTAGTCAAATATGCATCCAGTAAGAATATCAGGTAATTCAAAATTACTATAGTTATATTATGGTTGTCTCAAAATGACTACAGGGTAAAAACTTTGTGCTATATAGAAACACATTTTTACCATAGGAAACAAAAGAAGAACATCAAATAAATTAGTTGTGTCCCCGTGCCCTTGAATGCGGGAATTAAAACAATTTGATACTTAGACACATAACACAACCGATGCACCCAAACCTGAATTCATGTAATATAGGTTGCAAGTATTATAGTTGTAATTTTACTAATATCCTAGCATAAAAAATAAGACGCCCACCCTTCCTTTAAGAAATACCAGCAATGAGAATCCTGAAGAGTGAGTTCTAATTTTTGCCCTCAACTACCTCAGCCAATTACAGTATACTCAGTATTCTACTTATTCAAGTAGACCTATATTACTTCACACAGTATGACTACTTTCCCAAAAATAACAGCAAATAATCTTTTATGATGAACTACATTTTAACAAGTTCATATTTTAGTATGGAATCATTAATAGCAGCAGAAATACCTTTAACAGTGAAAACTGAAATATGATTTCTAGAAAAGTGACTTACAAGACGAGATTCATAGCCAAAAGCTCGACAATAGAGTGTGAAGCAATTGGCCCACTCCCCACAGCGCCCCCTTCTTGTTTCCAGAAGCTGTATAAAAAAGATTATGGAGGAATTCATGAAATGAAGACTTCTCAACCGAACAAAAATTTCAATACCTTTACTGGATCATTGTACCGTGGGAAACGAGTGATTCTTGAGCAAGTATTGCAGCTGGGGTAGTTAAAAGAAAAATAAAAGATAAAGTTAACTGAGAGAAACAAAGGAAAAAGAAGCATATTATTGGCACAAAAAAAAAAAAAAAAAAAAAAAAAAGGAATTTCCAACAACAAAAAATGCTCTGCATATGCCCGCGGGGGACCCGGGGGGGTGGGGGTGGGATAGGAAGAGAGAGAGATTAATTAAAACTATCAGCTTATCCACCAATCTTCATAAAATTTCATATGAGATAGTTAGGAAATATATTATATATAGCATGTGGTTTAACTAAGGTTACAGCTTTAAATAGAGCAGATGAAAAAAAAAGATTCATGTAGCTGACCCCAAATAGTTGGTTTTTTTTTGTTGAGTTGTATCCCTTAGAGCCCGTTTGGTATTGCTTTTCAACTACCTAAAAGCGCTTTTACTTTAAAAATTTGCGTTCAGATGTATTTGGTAATCATTAAAAGCACTTTTAATAGCTACCAATTTTAGTTGAGTAGAGCTTATAAAAGAAGCTAGAATTTGGAGCTTTTAAAACCGAGATCTAAGTAAAGGTTGAATATTTTAGGTAACTCTTTTTCCTTACACAATTTAGTCCTTCATTATTTTTTATGAAGATAATTACACTCCAACCTTTATAAAGTTGCTTTTATCAAATATGGTAACATCCTATTAAAGGATATTATTGCAAAATTAGCAATAGAAGTGTTCTAAAAAAACAGAAACTCCAAACGGGCTCTTATTTAAAAACAGGTTATTTAGCTGGATGAAAGAATCAAATATTAAGAAAAGACATAATACTATTGATAATTATGGTAAGCAATTCTTAAGCAGATCATAGTTGCAGATGGATTTCGTGAAGCAAGATCCACTCTAAAATGTCAATCATAAAAAGTAATTGTTGTAAAGCATAAAACGGAAGCAAATAGAAATTAAACAAGTAGAACACACAGATATTACGTGGTTCAACCACTAGGGCCTACATCCATGGCAAAAAGAGCCCAAAGGGCTACATCACTTTTATAATACTCTCTCAATTCATACACAATACAATGGTGGAGGCTCCTTTATATAGGAGAAGAAATTATGAGAATGGAAACACTTAGAAAATAGGAAATAAGGATGATTTTTCTCCACTGATTCCTTTAGTAGCACCAAATCTTCAATAATAGGAAACAACATGAAAGATTTTCCTCCACTGATTCCTTTAGTAGCACCAAATCTTCAATAATAGGAAACAACATGAAAGATTTTCCTCCACTGATTCCTCCATTAAATCTTCAATTCTTCCCCTCAAGTTGGAGCATGAATGCCCAACTTGCCATTGAGATGACGAGTAACAACAAGTGTGAATGATGAAGAGAGAATATTACGAACAATGCTACCGGAGACATGGCAAAGGCGAGGACAATGCTACCTAACACACCGATAGCCCAAACAAGTCAACAAAAAACTGCCGGAGACATGGCAAAGGCGAGGACAATGCTACCGAACACACCGGCAGCCCATACAAGTTGATAAAAACTGCTGGAGACACTGCAAAGACGAAGACAATGCTACCGAACACACTAGCAACCCAAACAAGTCAATAAAAACTGTCGGAGACACAGCAAAGGCAAAGAACATTACTACCAAACAAACTAGCAGCCCAAACAAGTCACAAATAGCACTAAGAAACCCTTAGCAACATTTCAGATGCTAAGGGAATACCCCAAAATAGGTGTCCAATCCTAGGAAGAGAAATTAGGCTCTGAGACCATGTTGTAAAGCATGAAACAAAAGCAAAGAGATAAATATTATGTGGTTCAGCCATTAGGGCCTACATCCACGACACAGAGCCCAAAGGGCTACATCACTTTTATAATGCTCTTTCAATTCATATACAATACAATGGTGGAGGCTCCTTTATATAGAGGATAAGAAATTATGAGAATGAAAAGACCTAGAAAATAGGAAATAAGGAGGATTTTTCTCAACTGATTCATCTAGTAACACCAAATCTCAATAATAGGAAACAACATCAATTACTGAAATATTTTCCTCCACTGATTCTTCCATTAAATCTTCAATTGTAATAATAAAAACTCCAGATGCAAAAATTTCATTTGGAGATTGTTCAATGTGTAACTGGAAACCAAGGCTGTGAGTTATTTTATTACCGTTGAAAGATATAAAATTTGAAGAGAGAAATTAAACATTAAGAACACAAGGTTATAATGTGGTTTGACCACTACAGCCTATGTCCACGACACGCAAAGCCCAAAGGTCTATAACACTTTTATTATATTCTCTCTTAATTTTTGTATATAAGGATCACCTCTATTTATAAGTGAAGGAATACAAACATGTGATAAATATGATATAGGAAAGATTCATAAAATCCCTCCCATGATTCACTCGTGTCAATATTCTATCAAGGAGTGATTTAAGGGTTTAAATCACTCCCATAATGATATTCTTCAACACCCTCCCTCATGTTGGTACACACAGATTTTAGCTCAAGTGTCCAACTTAAAACTAAATATGAAGTTGTCGAGAGTCCGAAACGAGTAGATCTGAGATGAGTCGATCCGAAGATTCGAGAAGAGTTGATCCGAAGATCCGAGACGAATTGATCTGAACATCCGAGACGAGTAGAGCACAGAGTAGGGTATTTTAAACCTGCTTTTATACCATGTTGAAAGATATAAAAATTGAACACATAAATTAAAATTGTGTCAATATTCTATCAAGGAGTGATTTAAGGGTTTAAATCACTCCCATAATGATATTCTTCAATACCCTCCCTCATGTTGGTACACACAGATTTTAGCTCAAGTGTCCAACTTAAAACTAAATCTGAAGTTGTCGAGAGTCCGAAACGAGTAGATCTGAGATGAGTCGATCCGAAGATTCGAGAAGAGTTGATCCGAAGATCCGAGACGAATTGATCTGAACATCCGAGACGAGTAGAGCATAGAGTAGGGTATTTTAAACCTGCTTTTATACCATGTTGAAAGATATAAAAATTGAACACATAAATTAAACATGAAGAACACAAGGTTATAATGTGGTTCAGCCACTACGACCTACGTCCACCACACACAAAGCCCCTCTTAATTTGTATATACAATGATCACCTCTATTTATAGGTGAAAGAATACAAACATGTCATAAATATGAGATTGGAAAGATTCTTAAAATCATTCCCGTGATTCACCCATATCAATATTCTATCAAGGAGTGATTTATGAGCTTTAATCACTCCTATAATGCTATTCTCCAACAATTACTCCGAAAACATCTACTCATTGAGAAAAGTGTTCTGACTCCAGTTTGTCACAATTTTTTTCAAATAGTTTCCCCCCAATTTATGAAACCTCAAATCATGTTTCGCAATTTGGACTTTAAAACTGTTTTGAATCAAAAAAGAAATTAACTATTATGAACATTTCAATTACAATTACAACTAGAAGCGCAAACTATTTGATATTTATTACTTGCCATTTAGTATTCTATAAATATATAGTAAATTTATTTAATAGTAAAAATACATTATTAAATGTTCAGTAATCCAATATATATATATATATATTTAATAAATTAGTATTTAGTATTAATTACAAAATTGTAGGTACTTGAATCATTGCTTGGCACATTAATAAAAGTTTAGGCAACCAAGTTGAGAAGGCATGTTTGATTACAAGAGCAACCATTTTGTGCAAATTACAGGAAAGGCTAGCTATACCAATCCGCCCCTCCCACCACCCTCAGTTAATAAGGACCAAAGCTATGTAATTATCTAATGGCCTTTTCTTCTAGTAAATAATCAATCTTAGTATATAGTCAGAAAACGTTATTTAATAATTTAATTAGCATAAAAAATATATTGGTAATTAACAATATCCAATAGTTTTTCCTACTTAATTTTTTTTTTTGGGGGGCAAGTAGAACAAACATGTAGCCAACCAGTCATAACTTGTAGATGATAAAATCATAATACTTACAACATAGCCAATAATCAATGCCCATTATCTAGTTCAGTTAGTTGTTTTTCACTCTCTACCCTCTGGTCTTTTCAATTCATACAAGGAAATCAAGAATCAACTAATAAATAAATAAAAATTAATGGAACAGGTTTTTTTTTTTATAATATCAATGTCAACAATACCTTGAGTCTTTAATTTTTCCATTTTGAAAAAAAAAAAAAAAAAAAATTGAAAAGAAAATAACAAAACAAGAAAAGTACTATTTAATAACAAAAAAGATGTTTACTCCCCTACACAAAAGCCATAAGATTCCAGATTTCCCAAGAAAGCCCTAAAGCTCATATTTGAGAGTGATTTACACAAGATTCAAGCAAATATGGGGAAAAACAACCAAATCCCTAGAAAATTGCCACAAGCACCCCATATCTGAGTCTCGATTGATCTTATTTCTTTTTCCCCCCCCCCACCAAAAAAAACCACACACGCACCCACCCACCCCACCACCACCCCACCCACACATGCACACTATGGGCCTTGAACCCCTCAGCTCCCCTTCGAGGGAAGGGAGGTTATACCAACTGGACTAATGGCCCAGTGGTTCATACTATTTTCTGTCCATTGATTAAATACTTCTTCTCTTTTTCAGAATTCTTGAAATAAAAAAATAAGAAATGAACCATTAAAAAAATGAAAATGTGAATAGAAATGATTAGAGGACCTCAGGGACTCTTCAATCTCTTGTCCAGCCCTCTCATTTAGGATATGGTTGGTTCAATTTTCTGAAAACGGTTTTCTACTTCTAGAGAAATCATAAAAAGAGCAAAAACGTATTTGGTTGACAATTTTATGAAAACTCAATTAAGAAAATGCTTGTTTGCAGATAAATGTTTTTTATAGTTCTCGGATCCCTCTCCCACCCCTCCCTCTCACAAAAACAGGCCCTTAATGACCACAAATGTCCAGAATGGACTGTTATGGTTCCATAAGGACCATAACAGCCACTACAGCAATGATTTCTATTATACGGATGATGCAGTTTATATGGTACCCAAGAATCTGTTAATTAACGCCCAACATGTCATGTAGTGGGTGGGAAACAACTAAATAGAAGACCACAAATTTGGAATAAAAAGATCTTCAAAGTAGAAACCCAAAAAATGAAAATTACAAATGAGTACATCCTAAGGCCATTACCGATAAAGTTCAACTCGAGAAGCTCCATACTGTGTTTCTGAAGGAATTGAAACACCCATGCCCTGATTTATGGTTTCATTGCCACAACTATCACAAGGAGGTGCATGTACCCACCTACAGTTTAAGAACATTAATGACTACCGACATATAGGATTCAACTTATAAGCAATTAAGGAAAAGGAGGGCATAATTATGCTCGAAGGAAAATTCATTACAAAATCTGCACAACTACAGATGAAACTATTCCAACAAAAGTCAAAAGCAATGTGAGGTTGAATACATTTCATTAACACATTTTAATACTAAGCCCAATATGCTGTCACTACTGATTACAGTACTAAGTATGTGTCAAATGGAAATTGGAGACCACATTTTCTTTTTTTAGATTGAGGAGAAGGGAATTTTTTTATCTCAAATTTATTTTTTTTCCAATCTGGAAGTAACCCATCAAAATCTAACAAAATAACATTTTGCCAAGTAAAAGTTTTAAAACAGTCTGCATCCCGAGCTTACACTGCTGTGGATTAATTCGTATTATTGTTCCAAAAATTTACATATTAAAAAGAAATATCAAATCTTAAAAATAAAAAAGTATCATTAAACAATTATATACTAAATCTTTTTCAAATATTAAACTAAAGAAAAGGTGAGGTAAAATAACATTACCTGAATGATTGTTTGAACCAGAAAAGCAGTTGCAGCAGGAAAGCATCATCTTGTTCACTTTTTGATGGTTTAAAGTTTCCCTCCTAACACATATATGGGTAGGATATAAGAAATGCAGTTACCAAGAACATTTACAGGAATCTAATCTACTTCAGGTTCCATAACACAAACTATGAGAGTTCTTGTTTTGTCCTACAAAATATACACTCACCACTAGTCAAGACCTCATTTAATAAAATATACCTTGAAAATGTAAGTTCCTTTTGAAATATTAACCATTTACAAAAATGGCGAAACTAATACATAAATTAATGTCACGTGCACTGGACTAGCCCCTCTATTTTATATGTAGATACATATACAAATTGATCTGTCCACAACGTATCCATATGCTTTTTTTTTTCCCAGAAATTTCCCATATCATTAAGTCCGTATATTGTCATGTCCATATCTTGTATCATTGTCATTTTGTCAATGCTTCATAGAATGAATAATCATGGTTTGATGTGTCTTCTTTTTTTTTTTTTTTTTTTTTTTTTTTTTGATAAATATTATCACTCAATACAACTGATTTTTCAAGACAATCTATTATGTACAATGGTTCCAACTTACACCGGTATGCATGAGAAAGCAGGTTTGAGTACAAGAACAACAATTTGGTCTAAAATAAGCCACGTATTAGGTTTTTTCCAGTCTTAACACTTCTAACTTCCCACATAGACATGACCAGAGCAGGGTAATATTTTCTATTAGGCAGGACATATCGAATGGCAGACTGCAGACCACACTTCTTATCACATGTATAACATATACAAAATTATAAAAATTCAAACTTGGTTCTCAGCAGTCAGTTGATACTTAATAAACTCTCTTAAATGTGTTAAATCATGCCACCGAGATACTGGTAGAATGTCTAAATTGGAAAACCGAAGTTTAAAAGTAGCATTCATATTTATTAGAAAAGAAAAAGAAGAAAAACTACATATATATATATATATATATATATATATATATATATATATATATCGTAGAGGTGCATAAAAACCGGCTGAACCAGTAAACCAGACCGGACCAGACGGTTTGGTCCGGTTCTTTAATGATTCAGTCCGGTCCCGGTTCCTTTCGATTCCCAATTTTGGGTCCTATAGGACCAAACCGGTAATTAAATAAATAAATGTTTTATATCTAATATATCTTAATAACAGGCCTATTAGTTATAAAGACAGTATTTTGAATCTTCACAGCTGTAAAGGCAGATTTTTTGTGCAATGAGAATAACTAAACCTATGTGATATAGTCATGAGGGACCTGGGAAAACTTTAAAGCTTAGGAGTGGTTAAATTCCAGCTTGGTGGAGGAGTTGAAAGGGATCCATATTGCAGTGGTAGCAGATCCAGGTCGAGGGTGATGTGATCCTCAGACAATTCAATCTTTGCAACAAAAGAAAAAGAAACGGAAAAAAAAAAAAGAAAAAAAAAGGCTACACAAAAGCATGGAAATAGAATTCAAAGACTGGATATGGCACATGCTTTTCTTTCTTTTACTTATGGAAAAAAAAAAAAAAAAAAAAACATGCTTTTCTTTTAATTAGATAATGCTTAGTAGTCTTTTCAATTTAATTCTGCATGATTTTTGTTTGGGTTCATTGGGCTGAATTATTGGGCCTGCCTAGAACCAAACCGCTCAGCTCATTTACGGTTTGGTTTGGTTTGCTTCCAGTGGTTACCATGGTCAGGTCTGGAGGGACTGGTTTGGTCTTGATTCATGCCAGAATCAGACCAAAGTGAACCGTGTCCACCCCTAATATATATATATATAGAGAGAGAGAGAGAGAGAGAGTGAAAAACCCACAAAATGAGACAACTTGAAGAGTAGATTTTATTTCTCAATTTATGTATAATACAATCAAAGCAAGGTGGGTAAGATGAAAGAGAATAAATTTTCAATCAATTTGATGATGGAAATTTTACTAACATAAAAAGAATTCAGGCTTCTGCCCACATTTTCTACTCTTGCAAAACAAATTTAACAAATCGGCAACACATATAATTTCACATGCATCATTGAGGCTATCAAAAGTGTGGAAGTAGGAAAAACTTATATTATTACAAGCTTATAACAATTTTGTGATACAAAATATGATCATATCAAAATTTTGACTCCATGTTAACAGAACAACTCAGTTAACAAAATCTTCCTCAAAATCATGCATAAGAATATAACTCAACATGCAGAAATCCTTTTTGAGTAAATTACTCCTTTTTTAATAACCAAAAATACAAATAGGTCATGCATAAAAAAAGGAATCAGAGGACCAACCTTGGCCAGTGCAACTAATGCTTTCTCCTCTAACCTCTCTACGGGTACCGTCTTCCGAGCTTCCTCCTGGCGATTCATATCTTCATACTACATCAACAGCATGTCATATTAACATAGATAAAATTTACCCAAAAGAAGATAAAGTACACTCCACTTGGTTGCCACTAAACTGCATCAAAAGAAGTGACATTGATCTCCTGGTACTAAATTTTATACTCCCTCCGTCCCATAAAAAGTGTCACTTTTAGAGAACAGTGACTCTCACAAATTGAACTGACACACGATTTTCCATTGAGGACACTTTTTTTTGGGACGGAGGTAGTATTACTTGACACCAAGAAAGTGAAATCACCACTCCACTATACTTGTACAATTAATTGGCTTAGTGAGTTAAGTTTTTCCACATTTTCCAAATGATAAAGAACAAAAAGATTCAATGTTTTCCTCCCCTTTTCTTCAAATTTTATTTTTATTTTTTTGGTCTGCATTCTCAACAAGAAGAAAAGTTTGAAAAAAATAAAATAAAATAAACAAACAAAAGTAACATATATATAAGAATTAGCAATTTTACACTTACCATTAGAACCTGGTTAATATAAGGCCGTACAATTTGTTCGATTTGTCCCTTACCCTTATCTTCAACGACGGCATACTGCTGAAACATAAGGGCTTCTTCTTCTGCCTAAAATCAATGAATTCATAGTTTGACAAAAACAGAAAATTCAAACAACACATTATCAAATCAAATCCAAAAAAACAAAAAAAAATCAAAATTCAATGTAATTTTTCCAAGAACCTGCAACATCCGAGCCAATTCCTCATCGGATTTCACCAATTCGGCATCAGCAGCCGGTTTTTTTTCTTCGTTGATCGATACCAACCGAAGTTTATCGGTAACTGAGGCGAGATCAGATTCATCTGATACAAGCCGATCATCGTCGCCTCCGAATATCTAATCAGATAATTGGGTATCAGTTTACACATAAACATATTATCAAAATTCCAAATGAACAATAGTTAAATACATAGATATAGAGAGAGTAACCTTTTGCTCATCGGGAGGAATTGAAGTGAGAGAAAAGAGCTGGAATTTGAAAACCTGGAAATGGAGAGCAAAATTGATGATTTTAACAGTTGAAAAAAGAAAAAGAGAGGGAGTGAGAGAGTTTTAGATAGAGAGAGACTTCAAAGCCGTCGTCGGTGTCGTACTCGACATCGAAGTTGGAATCGTTGTGATGGAGAAGGAACTTCCGAGCTACCATTTTCTCTCTCCAGAAACAATTGAACTTTTTTAGAGAGAGAATTAAGGAACTGATGTTCTTGGTCGAAGTAAACGTGTAGCAAATATCTTAATAATGTTTATAAAATTTAAATAGTGTAGCAAATATCTTAATAATGTTTATAAAATTTAAATAGATTCTATATATATATATATATATATATTCTAAAGTCTGTATAAAAATAAGTCTAAATTATACTTTTATTAAAATACGTCTCTCCCAACCTCGGTTTTAATGTGTTAAAAAAAAAAAAAAAAAAAAAACCTCGGTTTTAACGTCATCCAAGAAGACTTCGAATTAGAAGTCCACGAGTAGTCAATATGTTTTTTGAAAAAAATAAAAATAAAAAATTCCTGACATTTTTTTTCTCTGACTTCACATCTAGACAATAATTGTTTAATATTTTTGTTTGGTAGTTAAATATATATATTCTTTAATTTTGTCAAGGGTTAATTACACGAAATTTCTTTATAATTTGTCATAATTAAATGAATTTTTTTATAATTTTAAAAATTATAATGACCTTCCTCAAAAATAAAATTAACCCACACAAATTTTCCTTCAATAACGGTCAACGACGCTAGTTCATGACAAATTTTACTAATGTCATGCACTGAATAAATTTAAATACCCATATAACCTTGAAAAGCAAAAGAATCAGGAAAATGTCCCATTCTCTCCAAAAAATAATGCAGATGTATAGTTGTATAAGTCAAAGCTAAATGGGTATTTTAGTAATTTGTCATAGTAATGTGAGGGCATTTTAGTAAATTAGTAATTTGTGCATGTAAGTTAGTATCATTTTTTAAAAATGTCTAGTAATTTATAAAATTATAGAGAAATTTCTTATAATTATGATAAACCATAAGAAAGGTTTATGTAATTAATCATAAATCTAATGAAAAGATAAGGGAATGACAAATACTTACCTTACAGCTTGAATAATAATAATAATAATAAATTCAGTAAAAAAATGTACAAAAATGAAGTAACTTTTACTGTATATAATATCCACAACATTTCATAACTAATCATATTATCTCTGTTATTTTTCTTTTTCCTTTTTTTATTTTTTATTTTATTTTTATTTCTATTCGGGATGATCTTCAAAATATGATATGCTTAAAATTAGTAGAGTAAAAATTTATCTTCAACTTAACAAAATAGATAATTAAAGGTTCGAACAAAACAAAGGTGTGAATTATTTGTAAAAACGCACGTGCACACATAATAATAATAATAATAATAATAATAATTACAAAAAATTGCTCCATCTTCTAGAGTGAGTCAAGGGCTCAAGGCCAACAAGATGAATTATCCCCCAACTACAAGCTTTTGAGTCACACATTTATTTATGCCAAAAGTTGTTATACCCCAACTTCTAAAGACAAGATGTCCTAATAAATTTCATTATTTTATTTACTATCTTTTCCCTTTTTGTTGGGTGAAACATCTCATCCCACGTGTATTAGATAATTACTAAATTTATTTCCAAAGTGACCCCTCTCTAGTTTTCAAGTGTTCCGGTGAAAGACTTTGCTATTAGGTTATAATATATATATATATATATATATATATATATATATAATTTAAAGGGCAAAGTATAATAAATCTCCCTTAACTATGGACTTTTTGCGATAACCACCTTGGTCTAATCTTTTACCAAAGAACCCTTTTCAACTATCTGAGAGGGTAAAAGAATGGATGTTTAAACCAAAATGCCCTTATTGTTTTTTTATTTGAATCATAATTCATCCGAATTTCAAAAATTCATATCTCACCAACTGTACATCGAAAAATTGCAAATAATATATGTATAGAAAGCTTATGAAATAAGGATTCCAGGATTATAATATTTGTGTAACATGTCACCATAATCAGAGAGAAATATGTAATATAAGAATCTACTGCAGCAATTTTATGTTATTTTTAGAAAATAAAATATTTGGGATATTTGAAATAAAATACTCGAGATATTTACAAAAATTTTCCAAAATTATTAATTTACATATGGAGCATAACATTTAAAAAAATTAGTCCTACTATAGACTGATTATTCATTTAATTTTTAATTTTTATTATTATTTTTTTTTAATGGTGAGTCTATAAGAAAATAAAAATACATTGACGCACAATATGATATCTCATGAAATCAGCCTCGGGCTAAATTTTTTATATGTTATGGTCCATATACAAATAAATAATTCTGAAAATTTTCTTTGCAAATATTCCGAGTAAAAATAAAATAAGATTACTGGAGCAAATTCTTAGATTGCCTATTTCTCTTTGGTTATGGCGGATTGTTACACAAATCTTATATTTATGAAATCCTTGTCTCATAAGTTTTCTGTGTATATATTATTTACAATTTTTGGATGTACAGTTATTGAAATATGAATTTTTGAAGTTAAAATGAATTAGGATTTAAATAAAATAGCAATAGGGGCATTTTGCTCCAAGCATCCACTCTTTTATCTCCTTGGATAGTTGGAAGGATTCTTTGGTAAATAATTAGACAAGAGGGTTTTACTGTAAAATGCCTATAATCTATGGGGGGTTTATTGTACTTTGCCCTAATTTAAATTTTTAAGTTTCTTTATTTCACCCTTGTTCACCAAATAGCCTCCATTTACTGCAGAACTATACATCTTATAATTTTTCTTCTAATAGAAAGAGGCAATATTTTGGGAAAACCTTGGTTAACCCAACAAAAAATGCATGAAATGTGGCTAAATTAAATCTGCATTCTTCATGAAATGACAGTTCATGGGATCAAAGAGCCCCCATGGCAACTTAGCATGCAACAAAGCAGCTACTAGTAAGTTAAAGGTTTGCAGCATGCAGTAGTTCATCGAAAAATTAACAAATGCCCAAACATCAAGGAGACTCAACCTATTTGTTTTTCTTTCCAAAGGCTAAATTTTGGAAATGAACTTGATCTTCATATCTCTTATTCACATCACATTTATGCAATACTTTGTTGACATAAAAATACATATATCACTATAACACAATGCAAGATTTATCTGCATATTTGCATGGAGAGATACATTAGGTCGATAGCTTGCTATCTTTTGGTGGCGGTGTATTAGCAAATCTCCACGAGAATCTCTCAGAAACTTCAGGAGCAGCAGGCCCGGCCACCTCATTGATAGGCACCGCATCAGAGATATCTTTTACATCATCTTTGGTGAGATTCACTCTCACGGAACCAATATTATCATCAAGATTTTTAATCTTCGTTGTTCCTACAAAAATACAATATAAAAACTGATTTAGCCATTGAATTCAAAGGTGGAATTACAAGTATAGTTCAGAGCATCTCTGTTAAGTTACTATATGTAATTGAAATTTTTTCATATGTGAAGAAAATAATGGATGTCTTCATGCAGGTAACGATGCATTAGTGAAAATTTAAAAATATATTCACATACAAGCGCACATATCGTTTTTTTCTTACCGGTCGGTTTGTTTAATTTACATAGTTTTTGATTTATTAGTATACCTTTTGCATGATCTTATCTTTCAGTTTCATCTATGATAATTATGCTTGCTATGTGCAAACACTCTTCCACAATGAAGAGAGATTCTTTTGTGTGGTTGGCATCAAAAGCCCAATCGAAAACTATGAGACAGTAGCACAAACTTCAAACGGCAATAACTTCCACCCCGGGCCATTTTATTCGTTTTTTTGGCAATTTTCTAATTTCACGTAAAATTTGTTTGGGTTGAGTACTCGAGTTATGTTTTATTGGCAATGAATCAAATTCAAGATCAAATTTATCAACAATGAAGCAAAATTTGACAAGTCACTTACCGGGAATGGGTACTATATCATCCCCTTGATGAAGAACCCAAGCCAGCGCGAGCTGAGAAGGGGTGCATCCATGCTTTTTAGCCAATGCTTCTATTCGAGTATAAAAGATCTTGTTCTTCTCAAAGTTTTCTCCTATAAACCTAGGATGTCTTTCCTGTTAAAAAGAAAGATTTGTCATTTGACTCATGTATTCACCAAGCTTGTCCAAATATGCAAAAAAGAGGAAATTTCAATCCCAATTTAGATTATAAAGGTTCTCAATGTCACAAAACAATGAAACAAAGGAGATGGTCCAGTTTGTACCAAGAAACTATTTGAAGGCACACTTTCCACAACTCCCTTGCCACCGAAAAATCCACGACCAATAGGGCTGTATGGAACTATCCCAATTCCAAGTTCCCTAATTATCAAAATTCAAAACATAGTTTAGAAACATATGAGATGAAAGGAAAGAGCAAATAAAACAAATTGGAAGTATTTTAAAGGAAAGAAGATGATGGAGGACTGAAAAACAAAACCAGTAGACGAGGCTCCCGCCATACCTGTATTATATCCAAATCAAATACATTCACTACTTCTTAACTGTATTGATTATTTTAAAATAACGTTTTGCATCCCAAACATGCATATGATACTTTCAAGTTACTCTCGAGTAGATGTACGATACTCAACATTAGATATACAATATTTCTAGTATAATATCACAATTATATTGTTCGGAAAAGAGTAACAAGGATTTCAAATACTTGGACTTCTTAGAGAATAAGCTAGAATTAAGATATAATGAAAATAAACTAAACTCAACAAAGCCTTTTCCCAACTATGTAGGGTTGGTTGCATGAGTCCGGCTTTGCCATTCCACTCTATCTAGGGCTACATGCTCAGTTAAACTAAGATATAATGAAATATATCATGTCTAAATTACTCCAAAAGCCATGTCCATTAAATACACCATTGATATGATTTTTAATATTATATATTAAAAATATATAATTCTCAGCTTTTTGATAGATTATAAAAAATACTTGTTTTCTCATAATTTGTCACAAGGAAATGTTAGTCATGATATATGTATGTAACATTACAAACAATTGTTATGTAAATCTATACATAGGTACATATATATTTTAAAATTTTATTTAAATGTGCATATATAACATATATATACACATGCATATATATATGACTTGTGTTCTCGTCAAATATGTAACCTTCGTTTTAAGAATTTGTCATATCATAGTATTTGTGTCATGCCATATTACTTCCTATCCTTGTCCATTCTCTAAAAGCAAACTCTCATATTCGATCTCAGGAAGTTGAAGTTAATACAGACTCCTGGAGTAATTTTAGATGGAACATGAAGAACCTGCAAAGTGGGATTATTTCTTCCTCAATGTCACGAGACCAAAGGGAATAATCCATTTGTACAGCAGAGACGGGATGAACTGCATGTGCCCTCCTTATTGTGCCTGGGCTCGCTTCCGATAGCCCAATGTACTTTATTTTACCCTCTTCCACTAATTTCTTAAGTTCCTCCATCTACACTTGAATTAAAAGAGGAAAAAAAAAATCAAATTATTTAGAATTTGGCAGCAGCAATTATGATACCGTTTTTCAAAGAAAAATAAAGAAAAAGAAATCAAGACCTTAGGCATATTGATGAATATGGAAAAAAAGAACTACAACACTCACAGTTTCCTCAATAGGTACTGATGTGTCAATTCGGTGTATATAGTAGAGATCAATGTATTCCACACCAAGTCGCCTCAAGCTATCCTCACAGCAGGAGCGAACATATTCAGGTTTGCCTTTCACTGTAAAACGATTATGTTCAGTTTTGGCAACACCAAATTTTGTGGCCAATTGGACCTTTTCGCGAGGCAAATGCTTTAGTGCCTACAAGATTAGGGCTCGACTAGATGAAAGATCACTCCAAGCAGCAAAAAAAAGATCTGAAAATTTTTCAGCAACTATAAAAAAGAAAAATGACCATCTAGAAACGTAAATGAAATAAGATGTGCCCAAATTTGTACTGTGTTGAAACTATGAAGCAGAAATTAAAGCTGTCAATTAATAATATATGCAATTAACAAATGTTGAGTCTTTCTTAAATGCCAAGTTCTCTATGTGTTACTTCTAAATTTGAAATTTAATTGTTTGGATCACAGATTCACAGTTCTTCTTTCTGCTCCAAAAAGGCATGCTAAACAGCCAAAAGTTGTGATCGTTCTCAAGTTTCATTGTCATTGTCAGATACTCATGAATTATAATTTGTGCTACTCCAACCCTCTCCCGACTTAACAATGTTGATATCAAGGGAGATTGTCAGGCTGTTATGTCTCTCAGGTTGTGGAGGATATAAAGCTTACCATGGCAAGCAATTTTGATTTCTTGTTGAAGGGGGCTCACAGGAGTTCCAATCATATCACTCATCTCTTAAGTAAATGGGCTTTCTCCCAAAAATCCACTAATCTGGATTGCAATGTGTGGCCTATGTGGTTACTTCAAGCTTTTTCTTCTTGTTTTCTGTTGTTTGTTAGCTTTTCTCTGTTTTTGACAAGAAAAATAAAAAATAAAAAATTCCCCCGAATGTAATCGCTTCTAGTTCTATCTTTTGTCGTCTTATGGCACATGAATCTCAACACTTTATGCAAATGTTGTTTCCTAGCTGCCCAAAATTTGGTACCATAAAGTATGGTTGGTCATAGTTCCTTATGCAATATAAACCATAAAAGCGATGATATAAACATTTAAAAATAAAAAATATATAGGTACTGCTTGAATGAAACAATTAATGCTCGCATACAATTACCTTTCCCACCAATATTTCATTAGCATGGTTGGAACCGTAAATATCTGATGTATCAAAAAATGTGATTCCTTTATCAAACACATCCTTCATTATTGAAATGCCTTCCTCTTCGGGGAGAGGATCACTGTAGACTCCAGAAAGCCCCATACACCCATACCCCAATTTGGAGACCTGTGACAGCAAAGGACTCCACAATTTAGGATTGAATGAGAAACAACAAGAAACACTATTCACAATTCTATCAAATAGCAAAGTTAGAAGCTCGAAAAACTAATCGGCACCACAACTCTAGCAAGCATTTACTTGGCATCGATAACACACGTCGGGAACAGTTAGCCGTTAATAGCAAAAAAATAGTTAGAAATGAAGGCCAAGAACCCTGTTTTAGAGAAGAAGAAGGTACTGGCAAAGTGTAACTTGGCAGGCATCAATACTTTTTGATACAAAATCGTTCCTCTGTAGATAATGCATGGTTCGTAACATTATGATTTCTCAAGAATATACACAAAAATGCAATGGTATTTCCACAGATCACTGTATACATATGTAACATATCACTATTTTCCTTGGTGAGTTTTTATACCACAATTACTATTTCCATAGCTTACACCAATTTGTAATGGATAGCAAGCTTAAACAACATTTCTTGCAACAGCATTAAGAATAAAAGCAGTCATTTTCTTCTAAAAGTATGTTAATTTCTAAGGAGTCAAAATTTTCAGCATCAACGGTGAAAATCTAATGCAATAAACACAACAAATAGAATTTTATTTTTTTATTTTTTTATTTACGCTAATGAGATTGAAATTGAAAATATTGAATTGGGTTTCACGTTATATCCTTTAATGTTCATTCTTAAATTTAAAAACGATAAAATTATTAAAAAAAAAATTGGAATTTAAATAAAATGTATATCAACATTTTCTTTGATGGGAATGAAAAAGAAAGGGTTATACCTCAAGTCCCTGGTTTCCCAGTTTCAGTCTTGGTATCTCAATTTTCTGCCCCTCAGCCATTTTGAACGCTCTTTCTTCTCCTTTGGAAGTCCAAATTACTCTTGAATTAGGGTTAGCGAGGCATTTATCTACATGACCAAATATGTGTGTGTGTAAAAAGCTATAAATCAGAACAATAAAATTTCGTATCAAAGTTGATTTAGAATATGTGTGTGTAAAGAAAAACTATAAAATAGAACAATAAAATTTCTTATGAAAGTTCATTTAATGTATAGCCATATTCTTTGGTCTCATTTTTGATCAAATTAATGCCTCTATATTTGACCAATTCTAAAATTTTTATTTTAATGTATTTTTAACATAATTTCTTAGACAATTTTTATACACAACTTAATCCACAATACTAATTACAGAAAAAAAAAATTACAACTGACAAAATCATTTGCTATAACAAATTCATACTTATAACATGTCTGTAACACATTTGTTTTAAATTTTAACACTTAAAACAAATGAATGTTAATTATGTTATACTGTGAATTTAAGTGGTGTTTCAACACATAAATTCTATGGGTTAAAATTAACCAAATTGCCACACACTAGTACACATGCGTAACGTTCAAAAATTAGTGTGATAAAAAAAAAAAAAAAAAAAAAAAAAAAAAAAAAAAAAAAAAAAAAAAAAAAAACTACAGGTGACAGGTGGTCTATTTTCTTTGTTATAATGTAAGACCAACAGATTTCTGAAACAGGCTTTGATACCAAAACAAAACTGTGTTCATTCATTAACAATTCCACTTGGATGTTTCCATCTGCCATCACCAACCTCTTCCCCCAATTGCTGCAAGCCAACAACAGTCCCTTACCATACCCTCAGAACTGTGACAAAGTGAAATGGATACCATCTGCAACTGGAGGCTTTTCTATTGCTCACACTCTGAAACATTTCACCAACCATCTGCCAAGTCTACCATGGACTCATCTTGTTTGGTCTAAGAGATCAATTCCAAAGCACTCACTTACCCTTTGGGTGGCTATCCAGCAGAAATTGCCTACTATGAAGAGGATGGTGTACATCTCATATCAATGCCACTTTATGCACTTTGTGTAATTCTCATCCAGAGTCTCATGATCACTTGTTCTTCAAATGTGACTTCACAAAGCCTTTCTGGTCATTCCTTCAAGCAAAATGTGGGTACTACATTCAACCATCATCATGGCAGAATCTATTTTCATGGGTGGCTCAACACTGGAAATGCAGCAATGGTGTTCACAACTGCTCAATTGCAAAATTAGCACTAGCTTCCCTTGTGTACAATATATAGATGGAACTCAACAGAAGGGTTTTTAAAAGGAAATTTCTAACCCAAAATGCTCTGCTACATCAAACAGTGGATACAATTAGGCTGAAACTCATGTCCTCTACATTCAGAGATTCACCAATCTCCAGGCATATCATTGAACAGTGGGACCTCTCTGCTTCTGTAATCCGGATCATCCCTAATTTGGGGAGAAGACATCTCCTCCTGTACACTTTAGTGTTGAATCCTGCATTAGATAACTGTCATTTTGTTTGCTCCCTTGGAGCTTAAGCTGGGCTGGGGTTCTTTAGTTAGCCCGGCTAACTATCAATTATATGTAAATGGATCCTTCTTTATATAATAAAACTTTAACTTTACCTTTCAAAAAAAAAAAAAAAAAAAAGACCAAGTTTGATGTTATAAATTAATGGCCAAATTATACTAAATTACCCTGTGGCATGTGTTAAATTTTTTTTTAATAATATATATATATATATATATTTTTTTTTTTTTATGTCAACAAACACCCTTAATTTATCAAAAGTTGCAAATTACGTATATGAAAATTGAAGTTTTTTGTGTTAAAGTGGTTGGATGCAATGCACCTGATATATGGGTAGTTTGTTTTGACGAAAATACCCTTATGCACATCCATTTTATCCTTCATAATTGATTTTACTCATAAATAAGAAGTTTCATGTTTGGTACATGCGTAAGAGTATTTTCGTCAAAAACAATCTTTTTATGTATCATGCGCATTGTACACTTGTACCCGACAACTTTAACACTAAAACTTCAATTTTTGAATGCCAGAGGGTAATTTACAATTTTTTTGTGAGTTGCCACAAAAAAAAAAAAAACAATAAGGTTGTATTTTATAATTTTTTGATAGCACATTGGGGTTTAGTATAATTTAGTCAAAAAATAATTTAAATTATACTTTGTTCATCTAAAATTAAAGTTACGTCCAAAAATTACAGGAATTTCAGTATGATAATAAAAGAGTAACAAGCGTGAAAATAATCAAATACTCTTCAAAAATACTATGCAAATATGAATTTACTGTTTTCAGATTTGATTTTCGAAATATGAATTTACTGGATTGACCTCACTTTCAAAATTTGCCTTCTCAAATAAGTTATTAGGCGATGTTTGATAATTCAATTTGAATATCACTAAAAATGCTAAATACCACTTAAAATGGAGTAAAATTTTAAGTGATAGATTTTAGAACATCACATATCATTAAATGTTGAACATTGAAAATTTAAAAAAATATCAAAAAATAATTATTTTTTAATTACCACTTAAAAACTTTAATATTTAAAATTCACCTCTAAAAATTTTCATTACCTAATTTTCATTTTTATCAAACAATACATAAGACTTTCTAAAATAAAACTTAGACTAAAACTAGGAGAGAGAAACTTCTTTTACATGCAATAGATGCCATAAAAGACTACAACTAACTGCACCAAGAAGCTACAACGAAACCTCTCTTTTCAATATTTTTTTATTAAAAATAATTGTGGATATTAACATTCTTACGTGATTAATTATTTTGGATCCCACTACATTGCACTTACCTGGAAATTACAATACCTAGTATCCATGATCTTTTTGCCGAATTGGAAATCTTAACAGAGTAGGAGACTTATATATGTGCCTAACACGTGAGAAGGAAGTACATTTGGTGGCTATATATAGAGGCTCGAGAATGAGCTTCAAGCGTAAGCCAAATAAAGAAAACTTGTTCACCAGCACTCAAATGGGTTGTTATTAATGATGTAAGCAAACTCATGTGGATCCCACATCGATAACAAGTGCATTAAAGAATTGTTCAAGTACTTTTCATAGGACGTATTCAATGGGCAAAAGACAGCAGAGAAAAGCTTGGTGGAATTTCCATAATGGGCGTAGCAACAACTTAGCCAGTTGCAAAAGTGAAAATATAGATATAATTAATATATATTTTTTATTTTTATAAGATATTAAAATTTTATTTTATAAGATAATATTACCTTCTTTTATTTATTAACCATTATTCTCTCTTATTCTTCTATCATGTGTCTATATATATATAACATATGTATATAACTAATATTATTATTTTCTTTTCTTTTTTTTTTTTCCTTTGAATTGTCAATTGATTCTATATATATATATATTTTTAAAATTTTTTAATATCAAAATCAATCATTTTTCTACTGTTATCATCTATAATTATCTATCATTCATCAAACCATCTTATTTCTAAAGTGTGATTATCCCATCACCATTATACTTCTCTCTTTCTCTTCACTAATTCATTCACTTCTATAATTTACAAATAACAAAAACTTAATTATACAATTTTACTTTAACTAAAATTCAATAATTGTGATTTTTCCATCACTACTATACTTCTCTCTCACTCTTTCTTTACTAAACTGTTCAATTCTATATTTTACAAATAAACTAAAACTCGATTATACAATTTTATATCAAAGAAACTTTAATTCTATAATTTGCTTCAATTAAAATTTACAATTATCAAAATCCACATCTAAAGTATAAATATATAATATTTAATATATGCTGAATCTATCATCAATAAAAAGACTACTTAAAAAAAAAAAAAAGAAAGAAAGAATAATTATACGTTTTATATATATATTATTTGCATCTCTCTCTTAAGTTCAGAAGGTTCAATGCAACTTCAGGCTGTGTATCAGAATATATATACACACACACACACATTCCTTGCCACAGTCCACCAAGAAACTACAGTGAAATTTCTTAGAAACGCGTTTTAAAACTCTACAACGTACAATAACTCTGGCAAAAAAACAGAACAACAACAATAACTCAAGACTCTCTCTCTAGTCATTTGCTCCACATCTTGCTCTCACGTTCTTCTTCGCCTTTCATGCCTTATTGCCTCATAACTCTTCTAAACACTTTAATACATGCAGTCATGTTGAAGGACAAAGATTGCTCCATTGTCAGACCCCACAAACGATTGCAACTGTCTTTCAGAGCCATATACTTCATAGTTTATTTGTCCAAGAAGGTTTTCCAGAACACCCTAATTCTCACCGGTGTCATTCATAGCCCACCTGACGTTGTAATTGATATTCAACCCATCAATGATCGGGTACCATTTATTGCCATCGACAAGCAGGCACTCATCCGGCTGGTTAAAGAGAGAGACTTTGATGGTCTCCATCAATATGGAGGAGTGAAGGAATTAAGTTGCAGCCGTTCTTGGAACGGATGAGAAGTTTGGTATCAGTGGCGCCAGCAATGATGATACCAAGCACATAATTGATGTGTTCGGTTCCAACACATACAAGAAGCCTCCAGCTGCTAAAAGCTTCATCAGTTTTGTGCTAGAAGCATTCAAAGACCCAACAATTATCATACTCCTGGTATGTGCAGTTCTCTCTCTTGGCTTTGGGATTAAGCAGCATGGCCTCCAGGAATGTGGTATGATGGAGGCAGCATCATTGTTGCTGTTGTGTTAGGTGTTGTATGCACTGCTATCAGTAACTTCAAGCTGAGCATAAAGGTTGAGAAGCTTTCGGAGGAGAACGACAGCATAGAAGTGTAACAGATTCGAACGAATATCGGTGCGAACTAATCGAACCGGCCGGTTCATGGAGGTATGTAACAGTATCAAAACTTTGAAAAATAATTACGTACGTACTGGACGATACGTTATGTATCGATCAGTCGATACAGCAAACCATGCTTAGTCCAAAAATGAGTACGCTAATC